TCCCCAGGCGGAGGCGGCGGCAGAGCGTTGGCGGGACCTGCGTGGAGCCCGCTGCGGAGGCGTCGCCCCCTCATTCCCGCCGCACCGCGCGCAGGCTTCCGTGCCCGTGCGGGGGAAGATGGAGACCGAGTCCCTCCTCTCCGCCTCCGCCCGGGTGCGGTGCGGCCGCTACAGCCCGGCCGGGCCTCGTGTGGCGGCAGCCGGCCCCACCCGGCCGCTCCTGCCCCCGGCTGCCCCCCTTGGCCGCCCCGGCCCGGCCCATCCTCCTCACCGACTTTAAGGCAGAGAGAAAACGCCCAAGCGGCCCGGAGCGGAGACGGGCGCGAGCACCAGCAAAGAGAGGCAGCAACAGCGACGAGAGCCTTGCAGGCAGAACCAACGCGAGAGAAAGAGGGGAGGGCCGCGCTCCGCCCCGCCCCGCCCGGCACGGACTATCCCGCTCCACCAGAGAGGTTGGAGGGATAAAGGGCCAGGGTCAGGCTGGGCTTCTCCAGCTCCGCCTGCTCCCCGCTGCTGGCGCTGCCAACCTGCTGGCACCCAACGCTCATCTCCGTGGGGCGCTCCCCATTCCCCATGAGTGGAGCTCTCCGTTCGACCCCCCCCCTTTCCAGGAATGAGCGCGTCCACACCCCCCTCCCCCGCCCTCGTGATTTACCGTCACACGCCAGTAGCCGCCTAGTGCGTCCCCGCGCCGGCACTGAGCGTGCCCCGAGCCATCTGGGAGCCGAGGCGACCCCTGGCGGCGGTGCGCGGAGGGGGCAACCCCACCGCGTGTCCCAGGCTGGAGCCTGCGGGGTGGGCTGCCCTCTGCCCTCTAGCCGGTCCGGTAAGAGGTGTCGGGCAGGCTCCAGTCCCGCTGTGTGCGGCTGCGGTGAGTAGGGCCCGTGCCCCTAGGGAAGACGTCATGGGACCCTGAACGTAACCGCTGGCTGTGCTCAGCCCCGTTCCCAGTCAGTTGTCTCCTTGGAGCCCATATTCAGCCTTTGGTAGAATCAAGTAGGTTGGAAAAGACCTTTAAGATCGTCAAGTCCCACCGTTACCACAGGACTGCCAATACCACCACTAAACCATATCACCGAGGGCCTCTTCGTGGTTTGTGAACACTTATAGGGATGGTGACTCCCCCCCCCCCCCTTCACTGGGCAGCCTGTTCCAATGCCTGACCACCCTTTCATTGCCAGACTGACAGCTCAGCACATAACTGGACATGTCTACTAGGTAGACTTCTCCAGTTGTATCCAGAACATAGCAACATGCAGCATCCTCTCCACACTGATACAGGCCAGGGAGATGCAATTGCAACTCAGTTCTTTGCTCCCCAAAAAGGCAAACCACTAAACTAACCTTGGGGTCAGAAACTTCCCTCTAGCCCTTACACAGGTACCAAATTTCCACCAGGTGTGAAGTGTAATGTTCCTTTGACTAAAGCTCTTGAAATGTCCACTTACCAGGTATATAAACAGAGCGAGTCACTGTGCTCCGGTGGGGGAAAGTGGGGTCACCCGTGTGACCATGACCTTTTAATTGAGGTCACCCCCAGCTCTATTTCTGTTTTATCCCAACAACCTGCTTCCTCAGCTGTGAATCTTTTGTGTGGCCTAGCAGGGAGGTCATTGCACCTCTCAGCTAAACTGTAGTTTTCAGAAGAAAGAAAGAAGTGTTAACTACCTGTGTTCTTACACCGTGCTCCAAGTAACCTGCATCAGCCACTTGCAAACAGGGGAACACACCAATTCTGGTCTTTTTTTTTTTGTTAGACATTCTTTGAAAACCTTATCCCTAATACATCAATATGTAGGAAAGCAAACAAGAAGAATCTGCAAAATTCTTTGATCCAGGCAGAACTGGTCCTGCCATCTTACTCAGTTGATTATCTGCTGTCCTACTCAACTGATTATCTTAAAGTAATGCCATATCTCCAGTGAGGCTGCCTACCTTCCACTGTCTGTTCTTGCCTAGACTACAGGCATTGCACAATCACCCTCACAGGTTAAAACTAGAGTAAAACTGGAAGTAGTAAAATCAGTATTTTGTTCATTCTGCAAGACATATATGCTGGGTATATAAAAACCTGAACGCTTAAAGAGTAAGGAAAAAGTAAGCCTATGCTTGCCATGTTGCCCAGGGAACTTGTGAATGCTCCATCCCTGGCAGTGTCCAAGGCCAGGTTGGACAGAGCCTTGGGTGACATGATTTAGTGGGAGGTGTCCCTGCCCATGGCAGGGGGGTTGGAACTTCATGCTCTTAAGGTCCTTTCCAGCCCTAACTATTCTGTGATTCTATGTAGGGACACACGAATGTATGAAGCCATCATCCTTTCTGGAGCTAGAGTGATTGTACTTGTACCTGGAAGTACTATACAGTTTATCTCACTCATACAAGATGACTTTTCCGTGCTTCTGAGAGCCTCAATTGGAGTAAATACAATTTCTTTAGATGAATATGTTAGGGGCTGCATCAGCACACTAGAGGTGAGGCTGATGCAGCTCTATTCCCCAAGGTCCAACCAGTAGCAAGGGTGAGTGTGTATTCTCAACAAGCAAACATACAAACACGTGTAAAACATACATAGATGAAAATAGAGCTGGCCACACAGGTTAACAGAGAAACACTGCACTAATGCAGACACAGACAGCACCAATGCCCTTGTCCTGTTTTCCTCTCTGACTAGCATGAAGGTCCATTACTGGGAAATACATGGAGAGATACACATACACACAGTAAGGACCCCTCTGGTAACTGGCCTTAGACACTCAGCCTATGAAGTCCCAGTTCTCCCCCCTGTTGTCACTGGTCCATAAGACCCCCAAGGCCCACAGTCCCACTCCTGTGTGTCTGTTGCTATGAAATTCATTACTGCACCAGATTAATGGGAAAGCATCAGGCTTGCCAAGTCACATGTTTTGAACTTTAAGCTCAAACAATAGCCATTCTTATTGTCAGTAGGAGCCAGATTTCATCTCACACCATTTTTGTTACTATTGTTTTCTCCTTGTAACAATATTGGTTATAGATCACAGTGCCACAAAATAGTAGGAAAATGTCTTAGAAGTTTGCTTTTATTGAAGACATATTTAAGCAAATCCTGTTTAACAGCTCAATGAAATCCCCAAAATAGCACATTCAAAAATACCCAAAAGGAGATCACATTCAGAGGGAGGATATTCACCTTAGTATTTGTTCATTCATTCTAAATCCAAGGCACTGATTTCTTTGGTACTCATTCTAAAAGGAGAGCGTTTTTCTAAATTACAGTTAAATAAGAAGACAAGAAGATAAATCACATGTTAGGAAAATTGTATTTTAAGGTAAAGAACACAAAGATATGATAGTTCCTGCTGCCAGCTCCTGGAAGTGTTTGATATTCCAAAATTGCAAAAGCGTATTGCCAGCTGAGCTTTTTGCATTAGCTATAGTCTCACAATTTACCAAGAGAAATGAACAGGAAACCTTTACCAACATAACCTGTCAATTTCTTCATTATTAGTAATATTAATTTATTTGTAAAGAAATATAATCTTGGTGCACCTCTACAGGTTTAGGTTAAATACGATTTACTTGAGGGTCATACTTCTTCTATAGCATGCTAATTTAAGCCTGAAATCTCACCCTTAAAATAAATGAAAATAGTCCAGATTTATGTTTATGTAAATGAGTCCAGGATCTGAACTAATGCAATACCTGTTGAGTATCTCCAGTTATTTCTTATGCTAGTGTTTTGGATACACAAAGACATTAAATGTGTTCTTACTGTTAATTTTATTGCTTTGACCTATCAAATGTTAAAGTTGAATAAATTCGCATGTAAACGTAGGTTGGATCAGCTCAGCCATTTCCTTTTCTCCCTCTCAAACATCTTTGCACTTTCTTTTCAGTCTCCTCTCCTCACAGGGAAATGCTCCATCAAGATTCATACAGCTGCCACAGCATCACTTTAAACTTCTGAAGCAATGTCTGCCAGAGTGCCAGTAATGTTGTTTGGCACAGTTAAACTGGGAGCCGACACACCTGTTTTTAATGATGAACTTCTGTTGCTGTTGTTTCCTCTTAGCCCTTTTCCCCTCCACCTTTGTATCTAAGACACCTGCTGCATATTTGTTATGTATAGCTGCTGATGGCTGCAATGGGCAATTTCAAAATGAATGTTTTAGGTAAGAAGACTATGAGGTTTTGCAGATATGGCGGTCTATCCCTCTATATCTTTGCTTACTGATTCATGTTATCCCAGAAATCCTCACTTCTTCAAAGGTGGTATTGGAACCTGTCCTGCTATTTAACCCTTCCTACCTCCAGTACACCTCCCTCACCTTGTGCCCTCTCCTTACCTACAGATGCCATCAGCTATGTCCTTCTTCACTGTTTTACTGGAAAGAAGCAGCAAAATTGTGGGTAAAGCAAAGGAGAGGAGTGAATGCTGACAATACAGAGAATAGCAATGATTATATTCCAGCCCCGAGAGAAGTCAAAATCAATAGTGGTTCTGAGACAAGGAGTCACAAAAGCACAAAATGTAATCAGTTCTAAGCAATGTTAAGTGTGATGGCTTTGTAATGGAAAATAACCGCTGCTTGAAGGTAGTTGACATAGTTTCAGGTCCTTAGGACCTTAGTACAAAAGGTGTAAGAAAAGCAGAATAGAAAAACAGGACCTGGGGATGGGGAGTATCTGAGACTAGCAGATGTCCAGGGTGGGCACAGATAAACTAACTGGTAAGTAAAAGTGCAAGATGATTGCTATGTCTGTAATGTTAATGAAGCTTGTTGGGAAAAATAAACGACCCTTAAAGACCACCACATTTTTGTATGCATGCCGGAAACTTTCTGGAAAATGATGTAATATGCCCAGTGACAATATAAGGATGGCCTGCATGGCAATACGGGGACACACGTTAGGAGGAGCTATCCCCCGTGTCTCCCGGCGCCGCAATAAAGAATACCTGCTTGTCAACTTGAAACTCTGTTGGCGAGTTTGTTCCTGCAGTCTTCTCCGAATCAGTTCAGAGAGAACTAGTGGTATGGATCAGGTCTGAGGTGGTCTGCCAGGAAGCAAAGAGCTATGCTGCGGTATTATGTGGTCACTGTGGTAATAATAATACAGCAGTGTCTAGAAAACTTTTGCCATTTCTGCTCTACTGTAACATTGATATATTGCTTATCACTAGTTTGTACAGTGTCTAGTTCTGATCCTCGGGATTTTCAAGTACCAGAAGAACAGAAAGAGTGGGTAACAATAGTTATGAATCTCAAACTAGATGCAGAAGTGGCAAAATGGTACTATTTGTGACCTGCTCTTCATTGCAGGTATTTTCAAAATCGCAGGTGAATTCTTGCAAGTTCGTGGGGTAACTCCAGAATTATTCCAGTGTAGCATGGAACACAATTTGATTTAGAAAGACACGTATGTTTCAAAATAAGAGGTCTCTTACATGGCATGACAAGAGAACTGGTGCTTGTTCTCATTCTACAAAGACAGATATATATATATATATCGGGGTGTGTAAGTATTACAGTTCTTTCTTGCAGGAAAGCTTTCAGTCAGTAAGTGGCTGAAGGAGTCACCTAGTTGCTTGGTACTTAGGAAAGCAGTATTAAGATATATTGATGGCCCATGGCTTATAGGTTCCAGGTTTATCTTTTGGAATCTGAAAGAAAATTTAAGGAAAACAACATCATTTTGCTAAGAGGAAAGAAAACTTACTGTAATTTACAAATGCATGGTCTTTGTCAGCCATTTAAATGTCACTGCACACACATCCCCACTTTATCATGTTATAAAAGGTTGTGAAATCCATCAGCTTGCCTCTAGTCAACAAGTGGCATTCTTGTAATTGAACAGATAATTAAGTGCATATGTCCATAGCACAAGTGAGCTCACAGACTGAAGGGCTGAGATTAGAGGAACTGACATGAGGTTCCATTATGCAACATGGTTTAATGAGACTGCATTAGATCATGGAACCAATGATGTTTGCAAGGAGATCCTACACTTCTGAGGGCATTTCTGGAGACAGAACATCAGCTCCTAATGACTGGGTAACAACTTCACCTTTATTTAAACTCTAAGTTGTTACCAAGTGTTTGCACAACACCTAGCCCACAAAGGCTCTTGATCTCAGTTATGACTTTTATTAATATGAGAAGTTCTTTCACTGTTAAAGACTTCATCACTGGATATCCTGCACAGAAAGAAACAGAAGTGGATGAATGTGGGATTCACAATCCCAACCTCCAGGTAGATTGAGATCTGGGGGTCTCTAGCTGGCTGCCATGGGAAGACACAGGGGCCTGCAGGCTTGCCTGACCCAACTTGTGTCCCTTTTCATAAAGAAATTTTCATCTGAGGCTACAATGCAGTTGCTCGGGCTGAGGTCTGTGGGGCTCTTTAAGTTGAAAGTTTTAATTAATGGACCTTGTCATTTTGGTCTGGTGTTTCCTGTTTTCCAGGCTCCCAAAGGAAAAAGGTCAGGATATCTAAAATCCATTTTCCTCCTTAGGCCCCATTATTTCAGCATCTCCTGAACATCAGTTCATTCCACAAAACAAAGAAGAGAGAGCATGACCTAAAGTATGGAGGGCTCTCAGAAACCCAGCTGGAAATGAATTGTACAATAGGAAGAATCGTTGCTAGCCTCTGCTTTTTTATAAAATCAAGGATGTGTTCACCAAAGCAGCTCTAGGAATATTCAGATCATGACACAGAAAATGAGCTTATATGAAGTAACTGGGACCTAAACATTTGAGGCATTTACAATGAATATCTCAAATTTGCACCTCTAGATTCTGTTATGCCACTGTCAGTGGTGATGCTTGCATAGAAATGTAAATCTAAAATGTTTTATTTGGGAGTGCTCTTGTGCACCCGGCCTGTATTCTAACCCCATGTTATGAGAAGACATAGATGCATATCAGCCTGTATTTCCATCTCCCTAGTTTTCAAGGAAGAAAAGAAGGAAACTGGGGTACATGCTTCAAAGTGGAATCAGTCTAGACCAGAGGCATAGGACAAACGATGGAGCACACCTACTCTGTGTCTAGACATCATCATAATTGCTAACAGAGATGCAAATAAAGTGACACTAAATATGAAGACTATAATCTGAAGTCTTTTCAAGGGCTTTTAGATTAAAGGAGATATGTAAATTGGGGACATTACCACTGAGGAAATAGCATAGGTTCCTTAGTTCTAGACTGTCAGTTCATGTTACTCTGTCAACATAGCTGAGCAAAGCTCTGCTAACTGTGGTATGTTGAAGAAAAGAGATTTTGCTCACTGATCAGTCTATGTGCACAGCTCATTCAGATTAAAGAGAATGGAGGAGCTAGCTCATGAAAGGAATGAAAATAACCTTACCATCTCAGTAAAGACATCAGCACAGGCCATGCGAGTTTGCTCAACAGTCAAGGGGCTGTTCAGTGTGAAGTCCAGGGGCAGTCCTCTTTCCTTCCGTGCAGCAGCCACTGCATCTCGTATTGCAAAGAACACTGAGCTGCCGAGGAAGAATCCAGCCTCTCCCATGCCCTGACAGAGGAGAGAGACAGCTGAAGAGACTGGCTTTAGAAACTGTCAGTAGAGATTAGCACACCTCTGCTGTAGTTATCAAAATACACTGAATAGTGTCAGCTCTGTGTCTGGGCATGTCCATCATATTTGGATTCAACAGCTTTCCTTGGATCTCTGACAACTTTCAAATCAGAAAACCATCAAGGACTAGGATTTGGCTGATGTAGATAGTTTTACAATTCATGATACAGCTACACTATCAAAGCTTCCTGCTGGGACTTCAGTGCTCATGTTATAAAGCCATGAAATAAACTCATGACTTCTCACATAAACTACCTTTTCTATATCCAATTGGAATTAATTCTGCATGATGGACCAGAGAAAGAAAGACACCCATTTCCATTGCTGCCTTAGGCCCTCTTACGTAGATAAAGTTTGTGCTGTCTAATTTTGATAAGAAATATGCTCTTTGTCTCTATTTTCTTAATGTGAAAGAGTTTGTTTGCTCATTTACACCACCTAAGGCCATAAGAATATGGCATGGAATATCTTCTGGAAATTTCTGTTCCTTTGTGTACTGGTTTTGGCTGGGATAGAGTTAATTTTCTTCATAGTAACTCATATTTGGGCTGTGTTTTGGATTTGTGCTGAAAACCGAGTTGATAATCCAGGGATGTTTTAGTTACTGCTGAGCAGTGCTTACACAGAGTCAAGGCCTTTTCTGCTCCTCACCCCACCCCACCAGTGAGTAGGCTGGGGTTGCACAAGGAGTTGGGAGGGGACACAGCCAGGACAGCTGACCCCCACTGACCAAAGGGATATTCCACACCATATGACATCATGCTTAGCATATGAAGCTGGGGGAGGAAAAAAGAATAGGGGAGGGAATGTTTGGAGTGATACTGTTTGTCTTCCCAAGTAACCATTACAGGTGATAGAACCCTGGTGTCCTCGAGATGGTTTGAATATCTGCCTGATGATGGGAAGTGGTGAATTAATTCAATTTCATACTTTGCTTTGCTTGCATGTGTGGCTTTTACTTCACCTATTAAATTGTCTTTATTTCAACCCATGAGTTTTCTCACTTTTGCCCTTTCAATTTTCTCCCCCATCCCACAGGGGGCAAACGAGCAAGTGGCGGTGTGGCTTAGCTGCCTGCTGGGGTTAAACCACAATACTCTGTCATACCTGCTTTAGATTCAAAGGTAAATGGGCAGTGGGCATTCCTGTCTTTTAGTAGCCTGAGGCCTACGCTCCCCTTTAGTTCCCCTTCTATTCTGAGGTGTTTTTTTCTGCTTTTATTTTGAATCTATGAACAATGCTCAAACCCAGTGCTGAGTGTTTCCTCAGAGGATGAAGCACCCTTAAAACAGGAAGAATGGTGCTCTGCCATGGCTAATGGATGAAGTGGGCTCTATTCCCATACCTGTCACAGGTTTCCTGTGAGATTCTACAAAGTCACTTAATCTGTCTCATGACCTCTCTGCCTTTAAAAAAAGATCATAATATTGCCTTCTTTCATCCTTTCTCCTGTCTAGTCAGTTTAAACTCTTCAAGATGGACTTTTTCACTTTTGATATATAGTACAACAGGTAGGTACAAAAAACCTTTAATTTTTATTAGTTTCTAAGCGCTACTGTAATATCAGTAAATCATAGGAAGAAAATCAGTCCAAAGCCTCAGAACATCAGTGTTTTACCATTTGAATACAATTTGTTCCATAGCTGAAACTGGAATTATCTTTTTTGGGAAAAAAAAAGTTTACCATCCACTACAGTCACTTAACAGTTTTGCAGCAGAATCACCTGGTGTGCTTGCAAATGGTAAATTTGGTGTGTTTACCTTGGAAGAATAGATAGCAATGGAGTTGCATGAATTTGGCAGTAAATAGACATGGAACTGCTCAGGAATGTCACAGATGGCAGGAATCTTGTATGTATCTGGGCCAAGAGTTAGCTGCTCTCCTTCTGGGGAAAAGTAGATTTCTTCTAATGTATAAAGACCAACTCCCTGAATGAAGGCCCCTTCAATCTGAGCAAAGAAAAAAAAAGGTAAACTTCTACATCTTATTCAGTCATTTTAAAACACAAAACCATATATACAATTAGACTTTTTAAGATTACACATGAACTGATATCTTTCCTTCCAAAAGTAAAAATAAGCCAACATAGACCAAAGTAAGACCAAGCTGTCCTCATCTGACTTACACAAATATTTCCATTGGCTCAAGTTCATTCTACTCTTCGTTATTCCTGGCTAAACTCACCATAGCTAGTACAGTTATCTCTGATTTGCTTTTGCAAAATTGCCAAAGAGAATTGAGTCAAATCCACAGGAATTCCAGTGTGGAGACATTCGCCCAGGGACTCTGACATAAATAGTCTGCTCAATCTGATACTTGCTTAAAAAGGATTTGCAGTTAACTAATGAAATTTATTCTAGAGAAAAACATCACATACACAAATAAATGGTAAGTTGGATATGAAGAGGAAATAACAAACCAGCCTGAAGTAGGAAGGAACAACTGCTGAGTAAACACCTGGGCTATGACAGCGGTGATGTAAACACTGATGCAAGGTGAACACAGAATTGAACTGCGAAGAAAGAATGATTTGACAAATTTGGCAATTCTTGAATGTGCAAAATGAACATAATCTTTTAGGCAAAGGGCAAGTATATGAGGATGAGCCTGTAATAAAAAAAGGTTTTTAAATGTAAGTCATATTTTTAGAAGGATTTCCTTTGATTCTGCAAAGAAATGACAAATATTTTTTACTCTTGAGTTCACCACTGCTTTCTTATTTACAAATTATTAGTGAGTGACATCACTTTTGTCATTATTCAGTTTGTCTGCAGATACAGATAGTTGAATCCATAATACAAATCTGTGGCTATATCAGACCTTTAAGGAAAGGTCTGTTACATCTCAATAACTTTTTCCATTACACAGCCAACACTGTCACAGTCAACAGTGCTCTGCAGCTGGTTAAGATTTAGCCCTCAGTCAGTAATTCTGGGGTAAATTTTTCAGCAAAAAGTCGTAAGGAGATTCAGGATGCTGATCCTGTAGGGCATTTCCAAAGTCTGTGGGATCTGCTTTTCTCTTCTCAGAAGACAAACAAAAAGTAGAAAACTTAACCTAGTATTACTTATAGCTGCAAATAAAAGCAATTACTACTACATCTGTCAAGCCAGCATCCTTGAGTGTTAATGGATAATATCTCGTAGGCTTTTGTGGCTATTAAGTTGACTGGTTACAGCAAACATTTAGGCAAAAAGAGAAATGTTCACTAACATCTAATATAAAGGAAAACTATGGAAGTTCATACCTGTCCTATATCTATAGCTGGATTTATGCTAAAACACGCATCCATGACAATGTCTGTTCTGATATTCTGTTAAACAAATAAAAGGTGCGTTACAGACTTATATTTAAAATACACAACAACAAAGGGATCATAAACAGTGTATATAGTCTCACCCATAAAAGATGTTATATCACAAATATTACAGATTTATTCTGAAATATGAAAGCTACTAGAAACAGGCTTGTGTTGGTGGAGAGTTCATCTTATCTAGATGCATTTCTGGTAGTTGTCTGAAACTTTGAATCTGCTGTGCACATCCTGCAAAGTAACAGGATGATCATGAATTCAAGAATGGCTTTGTTGCTTGTTCTCCTATAGAAACTTAATTGTTTGATGTTTAGCCACCTCCTATGCTTTGTTGTGAGTGTGGAAGCACAGTCACTTGAACAGAAGTTCCTTGTGTAGAGGAATGTATCATAGGAAATATAATGGTGGTGGGAAATTCACCCAACTCTACTTCAAGTTCAGTATATTTTTTGACATTACCTTGTGGGCTCCTGTCAAACAGTCTATTTCTACTTCAGAACACGCAACTCCAAAGAGAAAATACGGAAACGCATGGCCTTTCTGTGTGTCCCAGTTCATGTTTGTTACATAACCTCTGGAGGAAGTAAGAACATCCCTCAGGATAGATGAATTTGATCAAGACGACCCCCACCCTCTATTCTTGTCCTCACTGTTGAGTCATGATATAAACTCTGTAAACTAACTATTTTCATAGGATCTCTGTAGTCAAAGACTAGCACCACTGCTAAATATTTGTGGCGTGGAATAATTTGGGAGGATAGGAGGATTGCAAACCGTGATGGCCATGGAACAAAATTCCCTGTGGCCTCCTGTGTCCTACCGTAATTGACCTTGGAGAAGATCGTGCATCAAGTGTCAAAATAGCTAACCCAAGTACATAAAGTGCTTCTAAAATCAATATGGGTTGAAGAGAAGAATTTCTCTGACACTGCAGTCTTTGGTCCAGGTTTTTAATGGTTTGTGTGCTTGAGAAGGTTGAATGGGGACAGTTTTATACTTCCTGCAACTTACTGACAAAGTAGCACCTGTGATGACGAGAAATTAAAACAAACTAATGGCTTTCCTTACTTGAAATAGCCAGTAGCTGAAAGACTGATGCTTTGTTTGTGAGCTTCACTGATCTGCAAAAGGAATACTCATTATTACAGAGAGAAAATTAAGAATTCTTTTCTTCATATTTAAAGAAAAAACTTTAAAAACCCATTTGAAAGAAAAAAGAGCCTAAGTTAAAACTTTACATTCCCTTGTTCCCTGAACATATCTTTGAGAAGGGGGACATTGCAAAATCTCTAAAGTTGGCCAGATTTACCAGACACTGTGTTGCACCACTTGCTTGTACACTGTTTATCCTTTTCCTTCATGCGGTTCACTCATGCAGGGAGGCCCTTTCCTCTCTCCAGAGCAATGACGGCTTTCATTGTACACTCATGGTTTTATCATAATTTAATAGTAAGGAACAGACATATTTACCCAGTCTTCCCATTTGCCATTAGGATTGTCTCTTCGTATAGGGTCCAGACGCTTCCAAAGGATTTGACAAGCATCCTAGGGAGGAAGAAGGTTGTGCACCATTGACCAACCCACAAACCCAAGTCTTTCTGCTGTATTCAAAGCACTACAGGCTCGCTCTTAGTGAAGTTAGTTTGTTAAATTCATTCTGAGGGCTGTAACTCTGTTCATTTACCGACAATTTCTGTACTCTGCAAACTGCCAGCTGGAAAGTGGCACTTAGTAAAGAGTGGCATTGGCATCTTCTCTAATGTAACTTAAGTATTCATATACCAGGCTACCACTGAAACCATCAACAAAAACGGATAAGGGACCTGACTCTCCTCCTATTTTGATTTGCTAGATAGAAAACCACTGGCCTGAATGATTTATTAAAAAATAAATTAAAGCAGAACTGGTTCCAAATGATGTAAGAGGATAAGGGTGTTTCAGTCTAACTATTAAAAAATACCTGAAACATACCTTATGCTACATTTTCCTTTAAATTGTGTGTAAATACAGAATAAAGTAAAGATCCATAAATTCATCTACTGGCAATCTAACCCCCCCATCCCCATTTATAAATCTGATACAGTAAAGCAGAAAAGAATTTACCCTTTTTAACAGTGTTCCATAATTTGCCTTGTTTTAAACTGTGCATGTAAAATAAATCATCAAGAGAGATTTTGCGATAAAAGAACTGCAAGCTGCTCAAAACCAAAACAAAATGATGAATCCTCAGAGGGACATTCAGTATTCAACAGAACAGCTGATTATGTGAAAAAATGGTAATAAGTCTAACCTGGACTGCTCTTGCATTGATTTCTGTTCCAACTGATGCTGCTGTGTATTTGCCATTAGGTACAGTTGTCGTGCTTGTTTCACAGAAGTGTATATATGACAATGGTATCTTCAGTTCACGACTGACAATCTGTAATAAAGGTAAACAAAAAGATAGCCAGTCCCACTTGAAGATGCAGTTTCAAGTCAGCAATTCATCATGCCATTCATCTCTTTCTATATACATGTACACACAGAAATGACCTAATTCAACAGTAATACTATGACTAGGACAAACACAAAAGTCTTCCTTAACAATTATCCTGTAAAATAAATATTTTATAAGTAAATTCAGGTAATAGAACAGAAGATAAAACAATACCATGCAATACTATATATTTTGCCTCTAATTAATTGTTCTCTCTGATCAGGTTTTGTCTACATATGCAAAACTTAATAAAAATCAAAAAAACAATCACTTTCGCTTATGGAGTTTCAAATCTTATCTGTATATTTTATTTTCAATTTCATTTGAAACGGCTTTGTTAGCTTGTGTTCCCACTTTATCTTTTTTTTACAGTGTTCTAATATTCAGATGTTCATTCAGCTCATTTTGAAGGATTGACCTAGTTTTAGCGCCAGAATGACCTATTTGGCACATAGTTTTATTTATCACTACACCAGAAATGCATGAAAATTAACTGATGCTATTATTGGTGTTGGACACTCTACAAAGTTAAACTTTCACCACTTTAACTCCCTCTGCAAACAAACATTGGGTCATTAGCTATCCTGATATCAGTGATGTTACCACAGAGATGTTAATCTTTCCAGGTCTTTGAAGATCACTTTGTTTATAACTTGTATTTTTCCTAAGTTTTGTCTTTATCAGTAACTCAGAAGCAACAACCCAATATTAAACCTAGCTTTATTATGTCTATAGAATTTGCTTATTGAATTTCTTAGTGCCCTTCATCCTTTTGGTTCAGTTATCTTTATGTTTTATTTGCCTCAGATGCAAACTAACTCACCTGTAACATCTTAGTGTGAATTCCTTGTCCCAGTTCAATTCCACCATGAGTGACTAGCACAGACCCATCTATATAGATATGGACGAGAGCTCCAGCCTAAAGAAAAGCCACAAAAACTTGGTAATTTTCTTGCTTCACTGAACAAAGATGCATAGCAAAAAGAACAATGCAAAGATAGATTGAATCAACAAGAATCAGTATATTGTTAAAAGGGAGTGGAAATTCTCCAGCAGTCCGACAATAACAAATTTTACAGCTCTAAGACAGGATAGACTCTAAGTGAGATAGCAGCTATTCAATGGAGTTCTGCAGCAATCACAGTAATTAGTCTAAATAATAGAAAAGCATATTTTTCTTCTTGGGAAATTGGGTGAATTAAGAACATGCTGGCTCCAATTGTAATGTGTGTGTAGCCGTACATACTATTCCCTCATCCACAACAAAAAGGAGGACAGAGCAGAATCTGAACCTTGAATCAAAGGCATTTTGTCAGATGGCAAGGCATCTTCTACTGTGAACACCTACAGAACTTTTATTTTAGAACAAACAATACCAGAGTTGTACTTCTGTGTTTCTGAAACTGAGGGATTAGTCCTAGTCCTTTTTGTTTGCATGTATTCATACAAAGTAATAATAAACTGGCGTTCATAGTGTGCAATTTTGATGGAGCAATGACACAGCTGCTCATGCATTCTCTCTTACAGGGTGTCAAGGGAATGATTTAGAACCTAATACACTTTTTTTGTATTTTGGCGCAGCCTTGCACCAATAAATAGCTATCTTAAACACAGGAAATGCAAGAAGCAAATGGGAATGGAAATAATGAACTTTCATTCATGGTAAAATCAACAACAAGTAACTTTCCAGTGGAGGGTGATGAAAGAAATCATCCTGTACAAGGCATCCACTACTATAAAGGAGCAAGTGGATATGAAAGAAAACCAGAAATTCTGTAGAGACATTTCACTGTAGAATGCAATCAGCTACCAGCACTCAGAAAGCAAACAGTAGAGCCTGAGAGGTGTTGTGAAATACAGTGCCCCCGGGACATCTTTTATTTGTTATTAATTCTACATTGAGAAATAATGGTCATGCAACCCTCTGTGGTGACAACTTGTGATGTTTGCAATCAGCTAACATTTACTGATGCCAGTTAGAGTCTTAGCTGACAGAGACAAGATTAGACAATAAATCTGTCCTCTAAGATTTAGATCTAGATTTTCCGGAAACTCAGTGCAATACCTGAGCTTTATTTTTAAGGTTTTGATGAAATGTAACTATCGTTTATGCCTTTTCCTGACCTTTTGTATCAGATGAATTGATTCCTAGATTCAATGTTTTTTACCATGAGAACACTGCTGTATGAAATATATTAATCTTTCTCTGAGCTGTTAATCTACAAACGTGAACAGAAACAATCAAGAAATGGATAAAAAACTGACATACAAACCATGCATTGTTTGATCATTTAACGTTTGTTCATTTAATCTGAAATTTATTTGAAAGAATTTTTGGTTCAAAGTATGAATTAAAAAAAAATTAGAACTGGAAGGTTTTCACAGAAACATCACCATCCTGAGCCATGAAAACTTCCAGTCGTAGAGCTTAACCTATCATATATATATATATGGTACTATCTGGTCTATGGGAGTGATAATTTTTCTTACTATGGATGAGATTATGGAAGATTCCAAGTACCACATTTTTACAGTGAATTACTTAGCTTTTATCTGAGCAAAGACAGCATGAAGGCAATCAAAATTTCACATTTTTGTGAGGTGAATACTCATAAAATCATAGAATGGTTTGGGTTGGAAGGGACCTTCAGTGCAAGATCATCCAGTTCAGCCAAAGGAAGATCATTTAGAGCACCCGCTCCTGCCATGGCCAGGGACATCTTTCACTAAGTCAGGTTGCTGGAAGTCCTATCTAATGCTGAGTAAGCATTTATAAAGATATCAGCCAGAGAGAGTGATACTCTTTCTGAAACAAAGTATACTTCAGTAGATGATATTTTACGCTAGTCCAGCATGCTGGAATCCTTTTCTCTTTCCTTCCAGTAGAGATTATGCTTCCTCTATTTTTTGAAAGAAAAGTAGGGACCTTGGATCGTAAAAGCACTGTTACAAAGGGGTTACCTGATGAAAATAAGTTTCATTAAATCCAACAGAAAACTTCATGGGAATGATGGCAATCCCTTTCTTTCTCCAGTAATTTTTTGTGTTAAATTCTTCCACCATTGCTTTTCGGTTGTAGTAGTCAGACTTGTCCAAACATTCTTCCCAACATTTCCACAGATTCTTTGCATTAAACTCTTCTTTGAAGGATGTTAGGTTAACTCCTTTGTACATGTTTATTTCCCTAACCTAAACAGCAATCAAATTTACACAGTGCTGAAAATAAATATGGCCATATAATATATTGATGTATTATATATATAATATGTCATATAATGATATAATGCAATAAAATAATGAATACTTAGCTATATTAAACATAATGCCATATCCCTTTCTCTAAGGAAATCCCTGCTCACTTGGCCTGATATTTTTGCTTGCATCAAATGCCTGTGAACTTAAATGGTGACAGCGGAATTGTTCACAAGGACTACTCAATGCAAAGAAGGTTGGTAAACTCAAATTGTAAATAAGACTAGTGGAAGCAGAAGTTAAAGCTAAAAAACTCTTTGTCTTTTGGAGATATGTCTGAAATCTTTCCTGAGGTGTAGTAAAGGAGAGTAAGTAAATGGGAAAGATAAGATTCAAAGAAATAGGGAAAAGACATAATGGGTGTCTTCCTAGGAAAGTAAAATTTTTTATAAACTGTTGTTTTGAATATAAAACAACACATAAACAACACATAAAAAAGGGAAGAGCTTACACTGGACTAAACAGCGTGTAAGGAAAGGATAACTCTTGAAGATTGGAAAGGAAAGGACAGCAATTCAAACTGTTGGGGCACTGTCTGCAAAGGCTGGGGAGAAATCAAAGTGTCAGCCTGGTACCTGGGATGGCAGGAGCCAGCTAACTAAACTGTTGATAGATGGATGGATAGAAAAAATGGAAAGTCCAGTTCTGAGAGGCTGAGATGCAGGTAACAGCTGAACATACACAAAGTGACCTAAAACTTGTCACATTGTACACAAGATTACACTGTTTTGACTGAAGCTGATCCTACTAATAGCAGTCATCAAACATTTTGCAACAGATTGTGGACCTGTTCACTCTTATCTGTATTATATCAAGTAGTATTCCATGGATGCATAGGTGCTGCATAAGGTACTATTCAGCCCAAGCAAAGTTGGTGGAGCTGGTTCTACAAGATCTGGCTTAAGCATAAGGAGCTTCCACTAGTCTCGGTCCTAGAATTCTCTGTTATCCCATTTTTTATTTGGCAGTCTCAGTTCTTTTACCTTCTCATGTGGTAGGCCAGTTTGGGTTGCCACAGCCACAATACATGTCTCCATAAACAGACCTGCTTGGGGAAACCCAAATCCACGAAAGGCAGTGTTGGAAGGCAAATTAGTCTTGCAGGCATGGCCCCTGACTCGGAGATTTGGGATATTATATGCATTGTCCACTTTCAACACAATGTATTCAATCACCTGCAATAAGAGGTTATAGTTGTTCAAATGGCTTAGTTTCCTCTAAGAAGACAGTGAAACTTGTGAAAGACACTCAAGACACCAAAGAGAAATAATTACTTCAATGAAGAGTAGAATTATACTTGGAAGGCCTGTTGTTCTACTGTTTTTTTACACCAATTTAAGTAAAGAAACTGTGTTTGAATCTGAGAAACTGAATTTAACTTAAATGAATTACAACAGGGTGAAACTGAGAGAAAAATCAGACCTTCAGTTTTGGAGAAGTGAAGAAGTAACCTTATGACAATAGGCTCCATAATAAAACTTACTGTCTCTCTATATTCACTGAACTTTTAAATCTGATTTTTCTATGTCCAATACCACCTAACAGGAAATACTGTACCCCCTTAATAATATTCTGTAATCAACCTCTGGGCCACAGATGCATTTTTACTTTAGGAAGATGGGAGTTGTACTTAACAAGAATAGACGTGTTCTTAATAAAAAGATACTGTGGCAGAGAGCTGTTATTTTCTTTTTGTGACCTGTTCAGGCAGTGTAAGTGGCATCAATGAAGAAGGACTTACCAATTCAGACTCGTCTGTTGTACAGCCACCATTTATATAGCACTGAAAATCGGCAGCTATGATTCTACCATCATTCATGAATCCAACCTGTAATATATCAACTGATGCATTAGGGGTCATTTCTGTCTTGTATTTCAAACTTCTCTTTATAAATAGGCTAGGTGGTTAACAAATACCACCTGAGGTTCAGACTACGGAACACAATGGCATTTTTTCCAGTGAACTAGAAAAATTACCAGCATGGATTTCTGTCTATAGGATGACATCAGTTTGGATCTGAATATGCAAACCAAGAGTAAAATACATATAAACCCACAAATCATCAGAATAACTCAGCTACCCACAAAGCTATTCTACATAGACATTGTCTGTACTCAGAATCTGAAAAGCTTGTTTACCGCTGTTTTCTGTATGAACAGAGACCAGAAAGAGGATGACGATATCACTGAAGAAAATATTAATTATTATTATGCTTATTCTACTTTCTGGAATATCCCTTTTGTAATCATCTTTCATCCTGATGACTTCATCACCTAGACAACATAAGAACATGAACCAATGGTGCATATATTTTGCAGATTACACGTTCAGAAATAACTGCCAAATTTGTTTGAATTCTAGTTCTGGTTCCTTCCTCTTAATTTTTTTTTTTTTTTAATGTAATGTATGGGTTTGTACTTTTAGTAGTTTATGTAATAATATTTAAAGGAGAACAATCATAGAAAACTGTAAAATAACTGGAGATCAACTTGTTAAATTATGTAAACTGATGCAGCTCCATTAGGATTAAGGATAAGGAAAATAAGAAATAATGAATATTATTGCTGGCTAAATCCTGCATACATGGGTAGGAGAAAAGATGGGATTGATGGGGAGAGTGTTTTTTGCTTAATGTAGTTAAGCAATTCATCCAGGTTTTTGCAGTTTTTGCATTTAATTAAAGGAAAGGTTAGGGTTGGGGTTACAGAAACAGTCATCAGCCAAACTCTACAGCTCATGCAAGAGCTATTGGAACTGGAAAACCAATTCCTCAGCCTTCTTTACCCAAACCATATTGAACTCTAAACCCTGTCCTGGAGGGTTTTAGTGTTGTTAAATCATACACCAACACTAAAGAGAAGATTTTTGCCCCTGCTACTAGCAGCTGCCAAGCTGACTTCAGTGCTGGCATTGTTTACCCAGTTATCTTTAATGTAAGGATTCAGAAGGCAAAAGGAAGAGTTTTGCTACCAGCTGAATCTTGCATTGCCTTGCAGGGCTGGCTTCATATCTGAGAAGTGGCTTGCATTCAATTCTGATTTACATGGGATAGGGCTGATGTTAGCAGTATTTTCAAGAAAAGGGATGGGTGTTCATGGTTTTTCTGGATATTGCCTGGGTTGTAGGAATATGGTGATAGCTGTTGGTTTGATTCGTAGCATTTGTCAGGGTGCTCTTAGGACTAGGGCAAGGTTGGTGCTCAGTTAGGATTTCAGACGAGGAGGAATTTGGTTTCTTACTGCATCTTGTTAGTCAATGAAATTATGCTGATTTGCGCAGAATAAACTATTACCCAGTAGTTGAGCAAAATATCTCCTCTCACTCACTTTATATTTTCCAAAGAAAGGGTGCCGTCCACCAGTGATCAACATATCCATATTTCTTCCAAGGGCAAAACGAACTGGATGCCCGGTCCTAAAGTGAACATAAAAAAAATCCACCTTTCTTATATCCTATGCATGTAGATTGCAAATAACATTACAAGCACATGGCCAAACACCTAGTGGTGGCAATAAATCAGTCCATTCTATGTTTTAGTTTCTTATTAAACTTGTTAAACTTATTAAACTTTCACCATGCCTGAGTTTAGGCTGTTTCAGCAGATTTTTAATTTAGTTTTGATTTTCCCCTCAAAAACAAAGTAGAAAAAATGACCTTTTCAGCAGTTTCTCTTTAGCTTCTCAACAGGGAGATGCAAGTTCTGTGAAGCACGCACAGGACATGGCAAGTAAGTCAGAGTAAAGGAGAGCTGCGGCACACAGGGCTCATGTGAGCACACCTATGTATTGGGGTAAAAAAAAACCCTTTCACTGAATATCTAGAGTGAAATTCAAGCCACTGTGCTTGGGAAAAGCTTGATTGTTTGGGATTTGTACAGCTCAGCCCTGAGAGAAACTGCCTCCTTGCCTTTTTTTTCTGGCTCTCAGATACTAAGTGAATACTTTTTCCAAAAGCCCAGAGAACTTTCAAGCCTCTACCCAAGATTTACTGCCAAAGAGATGAAAAAAGATGATGTCATCAAGATAACCCCCAGGTAGGGCTCAGGACTGAAGTTCCTTTTTCATTCAGTCTTGTCATCTTTTATTTGTTTTAGTTAAATCATTCTTTTGATGAAACCAACTTACTTGTTGGCTGCCACTGCTGCAACTACAGCAAAGAGTGAAGGTTTAGTAATCTTCCCACCGAATGCTCCACCAACACGTTTCACATGGCACATAATTTTATTGGACTGGAGGTTTAAAGCTGAAGCCACTAATTCCTGCAAAAATGAATATCCAGGATTTTACTGAGAATTGTTACCTCCCAAAGTATATTAAAAATGCCTATTCTCTATGGCTAACCATACACTTAAAGCTAACAGGTTTGAGAATCCTGGGCAGAAAACTAGAGTTGCTGTAGAAAGAAAGAAACAAACAAAAGATTTCAAATAGATAAATATGCTGGTGAAAGCACAATCTGGTCTTTACAGAATAGTGAAAATGTAAAAATAGGTCCATAAACTAATTTGATTATCTAATGACAGATATGATAATCTCTAGAATTGCAGGTTTCATATGTAGCTGGAGAGAAAGCATCCACTAAAATATCAAGCTGAATGGAACAGAGTGAAACACGAAGGAATTAACATATATTCTTTGAAGCTATTATTTTCTACAGGCCTACAATCCAATTCTGTTGTTAGCTAGGACCTATTAACCTTTTTTTTCCCTTAACTTTATATGATTTGTATGTTGTTATTATTTACTTATTCATTTATTATTATTATTTATACATAATTATAACCCCATCATCATCAATGTAACTACTCATATGAGCAATGCAACTTGTCTGAGTACTCTTTCTAAAAGCTGAAGACACTCACTGCTGCCAAAATGTGATTGACCAGGATTGCGCTGAAGGTTCTCACTGATTTTAGGAGGATTTGGCCAATATGTCTAAGAAATTATTAGTCTTTTCAACGAGAAAACTACAGCCATATTACCTATCCAAGATACCCTTTGTTCATCCCATAGTAATACTGCTCATTTGTGTCTGCACTGCATTGGATAATACAGATAGCACAAGACCTGCTTGTGCAGAAAGCTAGTTCCATCTAGTTTCATCATTAGTAGTTAGGCCATTTATTTTCATAAAAACATCAAAATCAATTAATCTAAATTGGGAAGATCATAAGACCTGGCCATATAATTGAGCTTTAAGGTTATTTAGGAAGGTAAGAAACAAGTATAATTAATACTTTGCTTTACCTGTACACCTGTTACGTGCTGACTTGACACATACACATCCATTTCTTTATCCTCCACCCTTGGAATAACAAGCACACTATTTGTTTCCAGGTAAAAATGTTCCTGTCCTCCTGTGTGCAATTCACCTGTTATGTATATAATTATAGGAAAATGTAAGCTTGGTTTCAAATGAGCTGCAAGGAAATCTGTATTTGTCCATATACATATATGTATATATGGCACGGAAAAAAACTGCCACAGAAAATAGAAAATAGAGAAAAATAGTTGAGCTATTTTTGTAGTTTGTTTTGCTTTATTCTGTGTTCTGCATGTTTGTTTGTTTTAATTTATTTATGTCTTAGGTTTAAACCTAAGGATTAGGTGACTGAATATTTTCCTCTTATTAAACAGAAAAATAATAAATAAAGAGGAGAATATTCAATCAGCTAATGCCTGTATAGCTTTCCCTCCTCCCCACCCCCAAGAAGATCAGTATCAATTTAATATTTTGTGCTTTTTAATTCTTTAGGAGGTTACATCTCTTCTACTATAATAGGATTATAATGTCTTCTGAATCATGCTGTGAGGGAAAATACAGCTTTCCTCTTCCTTTCTTACCTTCTTTCTATCAGTATGCCCTTCTCTTACTACATTTTTTCTACCTATTTCTACGCAACACTTTACTTTTGTACCATTTTCCTTAAAGAGAGGAAAATCTGTCAGCACAGTGTAAAAGCTAATTCTGTGAATTCTCTGTGTAACCTTAACTTTATGCCATCCTTTGGTCTGACAATATTTCCTTAGCAGTTATTTCTGAAACACATGTTCATGGAGAAGTAGTAGGAATCAGAACTGAAGCCACTAGAGGGTGACATGACATATGATGGGAACAGTTGGAGAAAGTCCAAAGGAGAGCAGAGGAGACTGACAGAACTGAAGGGCCTCAGCTCATTAAAGTGAAGGAAGGCATGAATCTTCAAATCAATCCAGCAAACAGGAAAAGTACAGCCTGTGCTTCGTACTCACAGTAAAGAGAACAAGAAGCACAGTACTACTTACATTGAAGCAAATTGTTAGCAATGAGGACAGTCCTTCTACTGATAGGATTCGTGAAGCACTGGAAAAAATTGACTGGGGAAATGCAGAGTCTCCATGCTCAAAGGTCTCCAAGAACTGAGATAAATCTGATCATTCTTTCAAACTAGACAGAATTGATGTTGGAAAAAGACAAAGGGGCAGGAGGGTCTGCTACATTCCCTCCTGTGATCATGGAGGAGTTAATTAATGTGTAGTTAGTGTTCAGCGAAGAAAAAAACAAAGCTGCAGAAATTTAGGGAATGATAATAGCAGAAAGTAGGTGTGATAATACATGTCATGAGAGGACAATTGGAAAAGGACATGAACAGGACACATGAATTGTCTAAGCATTTATAAGGTGCTCACTAACAAATCTCAGAACCGCATTCAAGTGTTAGAAAAAGAGAATTAGGGGAAGTATTAAAACTGGCCAAGGCAATGTTAAGAGAAACATATCTTGGTATCATATACTTTAATTTTAGTAAGTGTTTTACACTGTCCCACAGACTACTCTTATAAACAAATTTAGAAGTACAGTCCAAATAAGATCAGGGATACCACTGGTTGAAAACTGCACTCAGAAAGGAGTTTGCAGGATTGGCTGTCAAGCTGCAAAGAAGATGCACATAGAATCATAGAAGAGTTATTCCTGGCACTAATATTACCCCATGGTTGCTTTAATAACTATGAATTAAACTACAAATAATATCAGACTGGAAAGGGATGAAAGCCCTTTAAAGGACAGATTAAGATTTGAAAGTGGTTTTTCTACACTGGAAAATGGCCTGAAGTCAATGCCATGAAGTTCACTATGGGTTAAGTGCCAGTAGTTTAGATAGCACTACTGAACAAGATCTAAAGCAGGGATTACAGAGCAGCACAATTTGACTGTATATCCAGTCGATAACACCACCACAACCCTAACCTTATTCTGTGTTACTAATGTTATATGGAATTTCTGGGAGGTGCCACTTGGCATTGGTGAAACCTAATCTGAAGTATTACCATCGTGAAGTCAGATATAGTGAAGTTACAGATAATGGAGAACTGAGCAGTGACAATGATAAAGGTTAGCAGATGTGATCTGTGGGGAAAATATAAGGACTATGTGAGGACTCTGTTTAGGGTGAACCTTTACAGTTTGCAGGAAGAGAGATTCAGACTACTTATTAGGAAAAATGCATTATAAGGCCAGTTAAATTCTAGAACTAACTACAATAGGAGCTTCTGGAATATTCTTCATTGATACTTCTTAAATATGGGTCTGGTACTTATGCAGAGAGTATACTCTGGGACAAATGGATCACATTTGCTATTTGAAGATGGTAAAATTGTTGACTGTAGGAGTTTACTCTGATCCCCTTGTTTCTGGGATTATCCCTAAATCAAGCAGTCAGATTAAAACGGGATAAATTAAATTAGCCAACACCCATAAACAAAGCCTTATTTAACTATAATGTTTAGTCAATGTGGCTAGCAGTTGTTAGTAAACTTCCTTTAAATGTGAACATTTTATGTCCATTCCCAATGAATAGGAAAACATCAACCACAAAGGGTTTTTTTTTGTTTTGTTTTTTCCAGTGGCCAGCTGGAAATAGATTCTGGACTAGCATAACTCTCCTCCCCTTGCCTGATGCACTACATATACGAACTACCTTCTATGATTCCATCAGCAGACTTGAATCCTTTCTCAATATCTCCTTTTTCTATTTTCCTTTCTTCAGTAATGTATGAATTATGTTTTATTGCATCCTGCAGCAATAAAAAAAACATCCACAAACAGAATGTTAATTGTAAATCAGAAAGTCATATGATTTTTACATAGCATAATCTTTCATATGATCCTTTTTTGGATAGACAAGCAGTTGTGACTAGAAAGACCAGGAGAGTCATTCCACCATCAGAGAGCTTCTGTTTATTTAATTTTTTGTAATTCATATAATTCTCTTCTTCCCCCAGATTAGAAATACTACATGCCTGTTAATGGAATTCAGAGCTGTTGAAAATATTTCAGAATCAGACTGCTGGCTACTCAAAACCTGCCAGACTTGAAAATTTTCAGAACTTGGGTGCGGGATGTGTGATTCTAGAACTTCTGCAAATATAAGATCTCAAATTTAGTTCTATACTCACCTATTCCTGCTGGGAATTTGGCTCCTGGAGGCATAGAATTGCTTGCTTAAAACTTTTTGAATATTCTTTAGCAATTTTGTCCTAGATCTAAAAAGACCGGTCTCCGATATACTGGATGAGTAAGAACCTAGTAAGATATTTTTTGTGTTTCCAAAATCAAAACTTTGGACTCAATTTATAAACTTTTTGCACTTCAGAACCAATAAAGTCATATCTCATACCAAAATAGAAGGAAAAAAAGAAAATTCTAAAGGATGGCAAAGCTCTGTGTAAGGAGGTAAACAACTAGTGAGGTAACTTAAGACCTTTATCAGACATGGAAAAGGAGACAGATTGTTACCTCAATGGTCAGAACTGGCTCCAGATCTTCATACACTATCTTCACTTTCTCAGCCCCACACTTTGCCTGAGTCAGTGACTCTGCAACCACAGCACAGATTATCTGACCAACACAAATCACCTGCAACACACCAATGTATTACCCATGTTAAAATACACAGAGTGGTTAAGTTCCAGTACAGAGAGTGTTTTGTGGAAATAGATTTTGCTCAAACGCCACTTTTATATTCTGTTTCTCTAAGAATACTATCCCCGTACAGACTTGCCTTCATTAGATGAGACGTCTAAGAGCATCTTTCATCTGCTGCAACATTTTTAGCACTAGAAATCCTGGAGACATTAGTAGCCATGAACGTTTCCCCTGTGCTCATCCTCGGCCAGATACTGTGCCAAGTAACACCCTGTCTGGCACTGACTGCTTTTCCTTGCCTATACTCAGAAATTTAAGAAACCCATACAAGAAGGCCTAGAGACGTAAGAGCAATGCTTTAGGAATTATGCCTGTCCCACTGCAAATATCCTGCAACAGTGTCACTTGTGATGGATACAGCCTGAGGCCTGGGACATTCTGTAGCATAGATCCTATGAATTTCTTAGCTCTGCTGATGCTCAAAAAAAAAGAAACAGTATTGTCTCCCATTGCTATGTTTTAGTGTTTAACCTGGAAATTAATTTCATATTGGTTCTAGCTGGGCAACTCTTACTTTATTTGTTTCATCTTTGAAATAATCTCAAATGCCACGGCTATTTCATACTTTCTCAGAATCCATTACAATAACTTGTTTATCAGCCCTTAAGGAGTCATGGCTGCCTTAGTTCAATCCCAAGTTATTTAAGGGAGTTTTCCTTTCTCTCTCATTGGGGAACGGTAATTCTGTTCAGCCCCGTCTGGCTGGCACTGCATTAATAGCTCTTGCACTTCATTTCATTTCATTGCAATAGGATGATACCTGCAAACTCACTTTCCTTTTTTGTAAATAACTAAAGCAAAAGGTCTAGACACTCCTCCAGAAGCAAGAAATACCTTATCTTCTGCATATGCTTGCTCATCCTTGCCATTTTCCCCCGGAATATCTCTTGCTGTCACAACATCAACCACTCCTGGCACCTGAAGGGCTTCTGATGCATCAATTGATCTGGAAAGTAGAACATGCAAATAAATTAGTGCAGTACATGGTGCAATTATCTCTAGTAAAAGTAATTCAGTGAACTTCAGGAGATAAACATAATCCACTTGGTATTCTCACCACAGACCTCTACATAGAGAAAAAAGTGTAAAAGTCTTGATTAGCATGTTGAGAAAAAATAAATGGAAGGCATCTGTGTATGCATGGCATAGAATAGCTCTTCAAATTCTAGCTCCAGTACATACAAAATCTAAGAATATATTTTCTTTCTACATTTTTTTGTACTAAAAGGAATGAATGCATTAATATGGACTCTTCTGTCCATATCTAACACTATTTAAAGCTTGCAGTAAAGAAATCCTTACCTCATTTACAATACATAAGTCATAATACTGTCATATCTGACAATAAGAATAGAAAGCACTTGTTAATATATTTACATGCTTATAGTTTTTTCTTACTTACATAATCTTTGCATGGGCTTTAATACTGGTGACCACAGCCAGTGAAAGTTCTCCATCCACTGGACGAATGTCATCAATGTAAACTGCTTCACCAGTGGCATGCTTAATACCAGACTGGTGCATGATGGGACGGCCCACAGGATCTTGTGGAGACTGTCCTGGGTCAACATCCTGCAGAATAAGAACAGATTATCTGCAAGCCAGAACAGCAAGTACAGAAAGCTTTACTCAAACATCTTCTGAGCATATTTTGTGATCATAAAATCCATGTGGAAATCATCTAGAATTCCCAAATAAATGGGGGGGGGGGAACTGAGAAAAACAATGGTATAAGGGACAAAATTACTAGTTCATGCAGTGGAACCACAGCAGACAAAGGTGAACTAAAATCTTCTGGATCTTACAGCTAGTCTGTCTGCTGGGTCCATACTGCTTCTGATAGCATTCTTGTGCAAGCCACACTTTTACAGACCACAGCATCACCACTGCTTCAAACAACCATATTTCACATTGTTTACTTTGGAGAAAACATATCTGAATTCAGAATTATATTCAGTGATCACTCTAATTCCTTCTTGCCTATCTCCCTTAAGAGACAGGTAAATTAATATTCTGGCCAGCACTGACAAGACTAAAAAAATGGTTTAATCCATGTGTTTGCTAGTTAAATTCAAAGACAGCCTGGAATTGAATGCATTTCAGACACACTTAATGATAAGACAGCTTTGGAGCTCTCTGTTGTTGAATTGCTGATACTCTGTTTCAAGTTAATGTGAACTGTTATCAGGGATCCTGAAAATCTTCCAACATTTATGTTTTGTTTGGGCTTTTACTGAATTTCTTACAGGAAAACAAACAAATTTTGGCTGACACATAAAAGTTTTTGTTGGAAAACTGATAAGAAAAAATCTATCTTAAAAAATTTTTCAATTTTGCAACAAAAAAAAAAACAGTTGAAAATTCTTGATGAAAATTAATTTTTTTTTTTAAATAAAAATCTTCTACTGAGAAAAGTTTTTTGCAACCACCTTTCATACTGTGGCTTTTCAAATAAATCTTTAAGGCTGGAACAGTCACAGAGATGCTGCAGTAGGTTATTCCATTTGTACTGAGGCCCATTGGACAGTTAAACTAAATTCTCCTGAGCTCTTGCATAGCCAGAAGCTGTGCTTGTGTCAGGACAGCCTGATACTGCAGAACACCTTGAGAGCAATGAGTGCACCTGTACCCTGAAAGACAGGAAATCTACAAAAATATTAAAGATTTCTCACAGGGTCAACTGTTCCAGCAGCTTCACATTACAATTAGTAGAGGTTTTGGAGTGAAAAGATAGAAGGGCAAAATATTCTTTAAAACAGATGATCTGTGGCAGTTCTAGCTACAAACACACCTCACCTGATAGATCTGGACACCCTGGGGAGCACCACTTTGTAGCAATCCCAAAGCACTCATCCTCTCCTGTGAGAGCTCAGCATACCTGAAGGGATACTGAAAGAAAGGTCAAAGCAGCGTTGGCAGCCCCTTATTTCTAAAATGTAAGTTTTCCCTTCACATATTTTGAAGTAAAGCCTAGCACATTTACTCTTCCCTCTCACACCCCTTAATCTTCAAAAAAGCAGGGTCTTCCTGCAGCATGTATGCTGATGTGGGTATGCAATTTTTGTCCAATCCTTACCATCTGATATAAACCATGTAACACTTTCAGGTAAAATCTGAAAAGGAAGCTGACAAGCAGAGTTCTTCTATATTCCACTTTTCCACCCTGAGCTGATGGAGGGAGGAAAATTTCCTCCAGCACCAGTCTGCAAGCTTCATTCAGCATCTGATCATTCCATTGCCTGGTAGAAAAACAGACTAACATGAGCACACACTTCTTCAACATTAACAGGAATTTAGAGCTATTGTAAAGTATGTGGGAAGTTGTAAATGGATTAGCAGAAGTTATATCAAGAAATAACCTACTGTTAGGGAGGACAGGTCAAATACAGATTGTGAGTGTCTATGGGTTCCATCTGGCAGAATTTCCACTGCAGAATCAAACAGAGCCCATGCATCACACCATGGCTCCTGCACTTTGCTTAAATGCATTACAATATCCAATACCTTCCTATGAGCTTCTTGCAGGACTTCCTTGCACTGATCGTGGTTGAGCCAATGCCTCCATACAAAATACTCAGATCTGCAATAGTATCTGTGCCTGGATTGAAGAGGACTCTCATTCCAGAATTCACTATGGAAAAAGCATTTTTCTGACTTTCAGCCTGCCTGAAGGCTGAAATAAAGTCATCCTAATGGGGAAAATAAAGAAAAATTCAATCAATGGCAGAAACTGACTGAAAGAAAACAAACCTACTATTCCTTATATTCTGATTTTTAGCATTGTCCAAATAAAGCAACATTTTAAAGAACGCTTGCTACAGTTACTGGTTCAGGTAAACTTTTTATTTGTCTTGAAGTATTAAGCTAATCATAGATGGACATACTAAGAGGGGACGTTATTTGAGGTTATCTACGTGTAAGAAAACATGCCAAATTTTTAATTCTATCAGTGGTTTAATGACTTCAGAGTGCTGGAATAGCAGTCCTGGTATAAACCACTTCATATATGGCTGATATGTTCTCTGAAATTTCAGCTTAGAAAATTGTGGCTTCTTCTCCAGGACATGGAGGCCCCACTGTGCTAAGGAACCTTATTTTGTGAAGATTTTACACTCAAGAGATTTTACATTTTATGCTACGGTAATGACATTTACTGAGGGAGGCACTAGAAGCAGCTGGGTTTTCTACTGTCAGAAATGTTTTGTTCTGGGGACAAATTCACATATTTTAAAAGAAAAAATAATAGCAATTTCTTTCATGATCAGACATGAAAGAGAAAGAGAAAGGCAAAGAGACCTTTGAAGAACTGTAGCCCCAGAAAGAAACTTCAGATTGAGACTGCCACAAAACTTTTAAAGTAGGGGTTAGCAGGTAAGATCTGTTACTATGAGTATGTGATATTCTCATGACAAGTGTAAAACCCAGGATTACATGTTTTACAGTGGGTCTTGTCAGAGATGGAAAATCCTTTCAACGGGATTTAGATTGCTTCACTGAAGCAATGTTCACAACAAGCTATCCAAAAGGAAAAGCCAGCAGCTGACAGGAGCAAGAGGGAAAACTGACAGCCAGGGTTCCATCTGCACTTTCTGTTGACAAGTCTTGCAAAAAAAGTGTGCATGTGCCTTTTCATTGTGTCAGCAGTTAATCAAAAAGGTGATTCAGGACAAAAGTGAGTGGCAGAAGCAGCCTCTTCCGAAAACAGTGTTAATTTCCTCTGGTGAGGCTTCTTAATCTCATGTTATTCCATGAGATGGCTGACAGACAATCTTCCTGCTCTTCTGAGTTTGCTAGCAGTGCTGTTTTCTTCTGTTCATTTTGTTGTCTCCACCTCTGCTGTTCTTCGATGCAACTCTCTCTCTCTGAAAGGTAAGACTCTGAAATACCCTCTGTGATAGCCTTTGCTCTGTGGCACAACTTGTCACTGGACAAAGCAGGTTGGGATTTCTTTCTTTTACTTCGTGGAGGGAAATAGCCCATTCCTCCTTAATTTTCTCTTCCAGGCTGTTTGTCTCTCAAATCACCACTAAGGCTCAAAGTTTCTGGGCAGCAGAAGTACTGTTGCTGCTGCCAACACAAGATTATGCTTTTGTAGGCCTTGAACTCATAGGAATCTCATTTTTCATGGGAAAGCTGCCATTGCTGCCATGGACAGAAACACTCTTCCAGCATGAGGCCACCTAGGTTTAGTATGTGGGATTGCAGCAGGCAGCTACTCTGGGGACAGACCCTCTGATGTCAAGGTTGGCAGACTCCTGTGGTCACTCCCTCACTGACTTCAATCACAACACACTAGCTTGTAGCTTGGTCTTCCTCTACTTGCCCCGTACCCTTCCTCACATCCATTAGAGCAGTATCTTAGAACACAGTAACAATGACACCCTTTCTTCTGCCCCTAGCACCCTAAAACCACATACTGCCACCTTTGGTCACAGTAATTAGGACCTTATTTTGCCAGGAGTTGCAAGGACAGCTCAGGACTCTTCAGTGTAAACTGCTAATTACTTACTGAGAAGAGGCCAGAAATGAGCATTATTGCTGAAAACTGTGTGACAATATGACACTTTTCCTCAAGATATTCAGGCAGCCCAAAATTCTGTGTCTGGAAGGGGCACAAGTGCATATTTAAGAGTAGAGAAAAAGTAGTAAGAGGCCCAAAGAAGTAGAAGAAGTGGAAGAGGTGATGGAGAGATGCTATAACTTTCTTAACTACTTCCAAAGCAGTAGTAACCTGCTTTTTCAATGCCTTCTGAAAACAATGGAAGTATTCATAGTAACTACAGTGGAATCCAAATTAAACCTCTGAAACATCAGGGTCTTACCTTCAGCGAGTATGGGATGAGAACAGAAACAATGACCTCCTTGGCCTTTATGTCTGCATTCTCACAGCCAGCAAGAAACTGATCATTTAAAAGAATCTGTCTTTCACCATCTGTTGGAGAAAACTGTAGTCTGTTATTGAATGTCAAGCAGAAAGGAAACGTTTCTGCATTGCAGATTCAAATTTCATTGCATCTGTGCAAAAGAATATATTAAGGGCAATATGGCCTTAGTACAGCCCATTCCATTCAGGATCTAGCCTTTGAGAGGAAAGGCTAATCTTATGGTACATGTTAAGTGCAATACATTTCCCTATATGAATGCTAAAGATCCACATCAAACATAAAATATGAGAAAACGTGTATCTTACAAGTGCAATAACGTTCAGAAAAACAGTGATTTAAATTCAAATATGGCTATTCTGTTTCTGCTCAAAATCTTTTTGATCATTAAATCATTACAGCACAATAAGATTTTAAGAAATTATCAAGCACTGTACTGAGATGGAGAATCAGCCCTGTATATCTTCAGTTCAAAGATGGTAGAAACTGTTGCCAAGATTTTCCAAAGTACCCACAGATTCTATGCGACATGGATGGGACTTGCTTGGTCTTGATTACTGAAGTGTTATTTAAACATGATGCCCATGTATATACATGCACACACATATGCACAAAAGTACCAGTGACTTCAAGAGAAATTTCTAGGTGCATTACCCTAGAGAATGAAACAAAATTTTCCTTAAAATGAGAGAAACATAAGCAATAAAAGCAAACAGTAGTGTTAGTAAAGCTAACCTGTCTGATAAATGGAGCAATATAGCCAGAGGCAGTGCAGAAAGGGGACTTTTCTACCTGTCAGGCCTGCTCACCTCCCTTTCATGAGATTGCTAGATGTTTCCTTTTTGTCTTGTGAAACAGAAAGACTGTTTCCTGCTGGCAGACACTTTTTGCCAGTTAAAATGACAGGCAAATACCAAGATAATGTTGTCTATTCAGCAACATGTACCATTCTAATTCATCAAGGAGATGCACAGTAGTGTTTCATTTGAAAATTGTTACCTATATCGGTATTTCTCTGTTGCAGTGCTCTGCCCATCTGGCAAAGACATTTGGCAGGGCATCCAAAGCTTACCTTCTGATGCCAAGTTGAGGACAGATTTGCCAACTGATAAGATTGGGTTCAAGTCCCATGTTGATCCCCTGCTTACAATGTGTCCTCCTAAAGACTTTAACAAAAAGTTAGGTTATTTTTAGGTTTGCCCTTTTTACATGTAACAGCAATCTGTATCATAATCCCATTTTATTAACGGCCTGTTGGAAGAACTTGTATTTGTTTTGTTCAATCTTAACTGAACTTCTACCTTTGTACTTTTCAATGTGATTTACTTTACTCTTTCCTTCAAAAGTCCTTTCTCATACCATCTCTGTCGAGAGAGACCAGATTTACTTTTCTGCCCACTGCCCCCCAAAGAGATCGCCGTTCCCTTAGTTGGAGAAGAAATACAAGGTATTGATAGAAGGAAATTTTAAAGGAAAATCAGGGACAAGATCAGAGATGCTTAATATATGATGGATAAACAGCTATGTGTTGATAGTCAAGCTAAAGTATGATTGGTTTACAGTACCTTATAAGAGAACTCCACTTTTCCTTGCTCACCTCTTCCAGTTCTCTGCTCAACCAGTGAGCAGGAATAGTAGGAGTTTCTTTGGTTACAGTTCTCTGGATATTTGAACCTGATATACTAAAGTAGGACTCCCAGTTATTTCATACAATTTTTGTGATGTTTTTAACTATTTAGCTTTTTGAGGCATGATCCCACCCTCACACAGATTTTCTCCATGTATATGTAAGTGGCATTCACACATATATATATCTGTAGTGTTGGTTTATTTACTGTCAGTGCTGAATACATACTGCCATGCTCCTGATCTGTTCTCCAGCTAGAGTTCTCAGGTGTTGCAAGAGAGTTTGGTAGATTTTTGTTTTCTCCTGTGGAAGTTTTGTGACTGCCTCCGTCAGGATGTCTCTGAGCTGGGCCAAGCAGCAGGCAGCTCCTATTACTAGCCCTGAAATGAAATGAACTTAAACAGTGAAATCATAGGGCCACAATATAAATGCAATATATAACTGATAAGGCCTTTAAAGATTTGCTTTTGTGCACGGATTTTGTCAGCAGGATGAAAAAGACAAAAACCACCAAAACGTGTTTTATATTACATGCAATAAGAAATGCAAATATTACTTGCTTATTTAGTGATGGTTCCTAGTATAAACACATACCTGAAGAATATACTTTGCATATTTGCACAAACCAATGCACATGCCTTTTCTGTGCTGTGTATCCCCAAAGAAAAAAACAGCAGTTTACTCACTAAGATGAAGGGTGACTGACTTGTTTGAATCTTCCAAGACTAATCTGCAAACTCTTCATCACACTTCCAGTAGTATCAGAGAAGTCACTACTATAGACTTCAGTAAACACTGAGGTAAGCCTGCAGAGAAGTCTTCAAGTGTTGTATAGTGGGTTTTTTTCTGAACAAAAGGGCCATGTTCTAGAGTAGTCTTTTATTGATGGATCTACTTAAATGCAGAGTTGCACTGATATTAGCATAATAATTAAAAAATATTTATAATTCAGCAATTGCTGTGAATCATGGAGCCTGGAGAACATAAGGAGAGAAATTGTATCAAAATGTCAGCTTGATTTCCCATGGGGAATGTGCTACATTCCTTCTTTTGCTACAGCTGTAGTGCCTCCACTCATGGAGTTCATGCATCTACCAGATTGGATTCTCGACCAATGGACATTAGTACAGCCCATGTGATGTCACTGCACCTGTGATAACTTCTATTAGCTGAGAACCCAGATCAGTTGCTCCAAAGAAAATGTCATGATTTTTTTTTATTGGAAATTTATGCCTGAATATTTTGTGTTGAAAAACTAGCTCTAGCCTAATCTATGTTCTATGAACTTTGTGAGATCAATGGTTGTGATAAAAAGTTGACTGGTGAAAACATAAAACAGAGAAAGCTGACTTAGGGCCTTCCTCTGTGCTTGCTGTCTACAGAAATTTGAGATTTGAACAAATATATTCTTGCAGAAAGGTTTCATAAATGGTTTGTCACCATCCATTATGTCCAGATCACAGGTAAACTGACATGCTGGTTAAAAGGCTTAGTGAAAAAAAAAATCAAAATATTCAACATGAATGAAAGTCAATAGTTCTAACTGCTTCTGGTGTCAAAATACAAACTCCAAGTTCAGTCATCACTGCTTGTACCATCAGTGGAGGTAAGTTGGAGACTTACCATTGTTTGTGCTACTCACAACATGCATCTCTGGAATCCTAACAGGATGAAGAATGATTGGATAATAGGTACCATGGTGATTTTTTTTGAGTCCTAAAAGGCAAAGTATGATAGTATGATCAGAGATCTGTTTAAGAATTAACCATATTCCTTGACACTGAGACTGAAAACTTCAAAACCACTGCTACCAAGTAGATTCAAAGTCTACTGTTGTGCAGTATCTTGAATATCACATTTTACTCCTTTTACAAGGCCCACTTCATTTGCTTCTTTCAGGCCAAAAGCTGATCTGAAGTCCTAAATCCAGTATTCTCTTTCCTGACTCTTGCTTCTTTCTCCTCTGAACTGGTTTCTGGTCCTTTCCTATACTGCATTCATGTTTCACCTCTGGCCTCAGAGATTTACACAATTTCACAGCTGCTTCACCATGTTTCTAGCTACTCACTCCACCTTTCCATAAGAGCTACATAATTTTTGTGCTTCCTTTTTTCTCTTCTTGTGCAATCTTTTAAAAAAACTATTCCCAAACTAATTTATACATCTAGTAACTAGATTATCTCATGACCTCTGTTCTTGTAAACCTTAGGCTTTCCATGGTAGCCTTCTTTACTGTGCAGTGGCTGCTTTTGGAGGTTGATCTGACGACAACAGAGAGCTTTTAGTTCATGTGAAAGAGCCTGAAGTTTTTAGACATGTTTGCCATTTTGATACTTTGCCAAGTATTGCACCATGGGAGTGTACTATTGAACAAATGCCACACCCTTTTTAGGATCCCCAGAAGATAAAATGCAAGATTATGTGCCTACTGCATAATATAATCCTTGGGTCAAAAGATCTTTTATCTTTCCATACCCACACTGGTGTTCCCCACAACCAGGGGTGCCTTTGGATACTTGGCTTTCAGCTCCAGAAGCTCCTTCAGGCTAGGGGGAGAAATCCATGTTGTTCTCTTGCCACGGAAAACCAAAGTTCTTTTTTGCTGCTCTTGAGCCATCCTCTGTGATGGAAATGACAAAGATTTGGTAATTTTGACTAATAAAAATATAAACCACCATATTGCTAAGTAGGACACTGTCATGATAGACAGTGAGACATTCATGAGGCTTTTCTTCTGAGGTTCCTGTAGTGCTGTACAACTCTGAGCTTTTATCATAACTGTATTATTGCTCAAGAAAATGAGATAAGAATGAACTAAATGACTTGGTAAGAGACAGACTAAATGAGTGGTAAGAGACAATTAATCTTACATTTTCCTTTCTCCTGCTCTGATGATCCCAAAAGACTCCCTTTATATATGATATAAACAATAAAGCAATATGACTGAACTTTGTGGGAAATGAGGATGCCAAAATCTCACTGCATACGTGACAGAATGTAAGAAGTCCATTCTCTTAGGGAGATCACGCATCCCTATTTGCTGAGTGTCTTGTATCCGCGTTACTAAACCCAAAATAATTTCTATAGTATGTAAAATGTCTTTTTAAGATTAAACTACCTACTTCCAATTTGTCTGCAAGGTCTAATCTTTTGAGAATTACTATGTCCTTGGGATAGTTGATCGGTATTTACATTTTTGTTTAATCGAAGTGGTTTTCAGGCATCTCCTCTCTTACAAAAGTAAACATACCCTTATTTTCCCCTGAGGATACCATATATGTTCTTTTCACGTTTGACAAGTGCCATGTGGAATCATGATTTCAAAAAATGCAAAAGCCATCACTGAAAAACACCTGTCTTTGCAGACAATGCAATGAACAGACCAGTGGACAAGCCAGAGAACTGCTGCAACTATGGACTGGCCTTTTAGGTTAAGGACATGCCTGAAACACGAAAGAGGTGACATGTGTCTGTGGAACCAGTCATAATCTTAGTGGTGTGGGCATCCTTCCTGTCAGAGAAGCATTTGTTACGAAGTATTACTGCCTGAATATCTTCACAGCTGCATTCCACATGCTTTATTTTAGTACTCCAGACACTTAAAGCATAATCACCAAGCAGGTTTAATTTCTCAACATGGGGCCTGATGCCAAACCTGTTTAAATCTACTGATAGCTTTAAACAGATTCCAATGGGACTTGAACAAGCTCTCAAGGTCATGTTAAAAACCTTGTGTAGCCTGGAAAAGTTCACTCCTCCTGGCATCTCAGTCTGAACACATAGAGCAGATGACAGTGCCTTCTTTCTGGCTGACCAGCAGAAGTTTAGCCAAGATCTTCAATGCAAGTATAAAAGTTGCAAAACAGCAATGTAATAGCTGCATTCTTAAAGCATGAGTCTCTCAAAGGCAGGTCAAGTAGCAGAAAGACAAACCTGCCTTCCACTTCACAATTTCATAAAGGAGTTTATGCGTGACTATGCATGTTCTGGTCTTGAAGAGCAAACATTAAAGAAGGAACCTGTAAGTTACAACCAATGTTTATAAAGCAGCAAATAGCATTCTGTAACACAGTAATAAATCAAAGAACCATGCCAGGCTTTCTCTGAATTCAAATGAACTTTTGTGCCTCTGAGGTAGGTGGTTGTGTAACAGCAGCAAGAAGTGCCCACAAATATTTGCAAGAGGAGCGCAAACAAAGAATTTCGTAAGAAGCTATTGAAACATGAGTGGATAAAAAAAACCAGCCTGGACCTGCCTGCTTGGGGTCTGCTTAGTCTGGTCTGGGTAAATCCTGCACTACTATTTTCACATCTCTTTTCTCATGCCTTTCTCTGCAGATCCTGGGCACTTTCCACCTCCTCCTTTCAAGTTTCCATCTGTCCTTCTGTGACTCTCCAACGACTATTTCAGTAAACCCTCTTTTTTTCTCTCCAAATCCTTTGTCCTCCTTCAGCATTTCCCACATGTAAGTCCAGTCTCAGGTTGCCAGGGTCTATGTACCAGGTGGAAGGAAACAATGGGTCCTGTGGTCACTTGAATCCAACAGAGAATTATAAGACAGAAAAGATGGAGAAGCTCATCTGGGGACTTTCAAGGAAAATACTATATTCCACAAAGAAGGCTAACCGGTCCAAAATAAAATGGTTCTAATTAAGGAGTTCTTTTGGGAGAAGTCTGGAAATACAGTTTTGGTTCTGGAGAGACAAACAATTTCTTTTTGAAAACATCAGCTATTTGTAGTAATGACAACATATAGATTATCCACATTAAAATGTCTCATTATGTTTCACTAAAACTGATCTTTTCTGTTTATCTGAGGATAGATCTTTCAACTTAACAAAAACGTTAAATTTTCAACATCTGCAGAAACTCAGTCATGCCTGCATGATAACAAATGTCAGTAAAGCCTACCATTAGTTCAGGAGGAAATATAAATTCCTGTGTTGGATCCATGGATGGGAATTCTTCTGGACTGCAAAGACCTGAATGAATCTGCAAAGAAGTTTGGGGAAGAGGAGGGAGGGGGAAAAATGCATATATTTAGAGTAAGTGGCAAGTCTGTCATCAGATGAGATTCTTTCCATAGGTGACATTGAGTTTTGACATTTTACACGTTGAGTTGCATTCAAAAATTCAATATGCCCATATTGATTTTTAATGTTTAACTCTACCTATTCACAAACTACTCTAAAGACAGAAGACTATCATACTAATAACTCCCAAGTCTTTGCTTGAAGTAGATCAAGCCTCAAGAAAGATCTTGCAGTATTTCCTGAAACTGGTCATAGCAAACATATAGCAGCCACATTGGGTGAAATATCTACTGCAGGAAAATGCAGTGCTGGATGGTATAGTCATGTTCTCTTCATAAACTGGGTCTGTTAAGGAGCCTTCTGACAGAGAGAGTTTGGCATGACAACAAATAATGCAGCAGGTCCCTCAGGTCAGAAAGATTTGGACTTAAGGAGAGCCTCTCTACCCTTTCATAAGCACTGCAAGAGCTGAATGCTGACAGTACACTATAAAAATTAGGTTTATCTACTTGTTTACAGATGTCTTTTTTTCTGCATAGCCTTTTCTGAAGCCATGCATCTTCTGGGCTCTCAGGAGCTTACTTGAAGGGAGAATCTGGATGTGCCATTTTTACCAGCACTGTTCAGCTTTTTCTGCCTCACTGATTTATTTTCAGACAGCAACAGGTCTCAAGTATATTGAATAGGAAAAGAGATTGACATATCCTAGTCTGAAGTCTCTAATCCCTTCTCCAGACAGTCACTATCTCTGGGCACAGAGGTCGTGGCTATGGTAACTATAAAATCTGGCTCTGGATGGCCTAGTCTACTGACTGACTGTTGATGAAATGGCTGAAGTTTCTGGGTCTCCCTTGCTCCTCACAACAATCTAGCACCAGCTATTTAACTTGGATGAAAGCCACCTCAAGGAATGCAAACCAGTGAAAGCCAAATAAGAGAACACCCAATGTAAGTGCTGTTTCATAACTGGCTTCATTGCCAGATCCATGCTTCAAACAACCTTGGCAGCAGCTGGCCAACAATTTTCAGTTCTTAAAGGGGCAGAGACAATACACACATGCACAAACATATACACACATCCAGTTACACTCCTTGGGGCTCTAAGGTTTTTCACTGTCCAAAGAATTTTTCCTCCAATCATCAAGACATTTTACTTTAGAGGATTCTTAAAAGATTTTCAATCAGAGCAAGTTTATCCAAGTTCAATTCATCATGAAGCAAGACGAAGTCGTATTTTAGGGCACTATGGCCTCCTCTTGCCTGTGGATGAAGACAAGTTCTAAGATAAAGACAGGGAATGGAGGATGTTTCTGAAGGCCTTATGTGTACCCTTACATATATAATTGTGGAACCTTTGCCAGAAGAAACACAAATGAGGTGACTTGTGATTTTAGAATGTGCATATGCAGACTATATTTTGAAGCAATACCAATATATATTAATTACTGTAGAATGCAGAAGAATGAGACACTTCTTCCCTGAAGATCTTGGAAACAGTAACACACAATAATGCTTATGAAAGGCTTTACAAGTACTGACATTACACAGGAATAGTTTTTCCTATTTTTCATCTTCAGAAATTCAGAGTTGGTGTCTCAAGCACACACAGATAAGTCATGATGATGGCTGCAGAAGTTCTGTTTGTTAAGGGAGTTCAACTTCACATCAAGACCAGCTTTTTAGGAAAGGTGTCTCTGATCAACAATTTTCTTTCTCACAAAACAAAGTAGACTTAAATGTATAATATTGAGATCCACACTGTCACTGGAAAGTGTCACTGCCTGTCACTGAGATATGGAGTATGGATGAGAGACTTCAGACAAAATGTCACTTTTCCCAGTGGAAAATAGGTCAAATCTGTCTACCTTCTGACTACACAGCAATGCAGATGTGCTACCTTTCTGCAGCACCAAGAGCAGAGAGCATGGAGTTCAGCTTGGATTAAATGCCCTAGGGCAAAAGTAGCTGCTGCCATACTTCAAGATGGTCCCTTTCTACAAATCTTATAAAAGCAAACTGGATATAATGAAAAAAAGAAATCTAATTTAACTTACTTGACCTTCTGTAGAAGATGTACACACACATTCTTCCTTATCCAAGCAACACTGTCCAGTACCTCTGAGCTGGCAACATGCTGGCTCCTAAAGAAATCATATCCTACTCTATAAAAACAACAAGGCAGATTTGTGATGTATTTGTAAAAGTTTTGATTCTTCCTGCTCCAAAGCAGATTTGTTCAGTCACTTGAAGTTGCTCCAGAAGAACTCTTAAGCCATAGGGCCTCACAGAATTAGTTCCCTTTGTGTACCCAAGTATCCATAAAGTAAATGGAAAGAAATCAAAGTTATTTCAGTTGTGCCTGAATTAAGTCATTGGAACTGATGTGAAGCATCCATAAGTGCATTGCAAGGGTACATGTAGACCTAAAGCCAGTGGCAGCTGTAAGTGCTCAACACATTTAAAAACTAAAAGAGGTAGATTTTCCCAAGGTTCGACCAAAAATAATTTCCGAATTAAGCTAGATTCCAGGTAGGTATTTCAAGGAGGAAGAGCCTTTTCAGATACCACCAACTGTCCCAAAATAAGAAACATATTTGAAAATATTGACCTACCCCAACAAAAAATGTGCAGCTGTCTATAATTGGCCGGTATCCTGTACAACGACATAAATTACCTGAAACAAACCATACGATAATCAACCATAAGAAACCAGAACAATGTTTGGGAGCACTGGCATAATTGGGAATGGTCTGGCACCAAACCTGTAGATATGAAATGATGAAATCTATGTCCCTACTCTCACATGGGCAAAATCATATCTGTAAAAATAAGAAATATTACTTCAATAGTGATTATTATGTATGATTAAAATTTATTGTTTTAAAGGCTATTTTTAATAATATTATTTCTATGAATGTATGTAAAAAATTAATTACGAAAAGTATACAAAAGTAAGTACTATGATTAGTACTACCACTACAGTCTTTGGATTTTATCATCCAAACAAAAATCTATTGCCGTCCATCACTATTATAGTTTTCATATGCAATTAATAGCAGTAGTAAACTCTTTACTGGAATTTCTAACATTTCCTTCATGAAGTCAAAATCTTGTGGTGGGAAAGGTCAATTATTTTGGGAGCTATAGAAGTGTTAGCAAATTTGTGACTAGAAAGTGAGTTGAAGTCACTTAACCTATTGTACTACATCTTGCGTGAAGAGCAGTCAATATTTCAGTGGGCCATAACATCATGTAATCTATTTCCCCTGTAACTGCTGAAATCTGTATTAAGGACTTCATCTTACTGGTAGGCGAGTATTTAATTGCAGACAAAAGAGAACCTATTTTTTTTCCCTGTATTCATTGTAACACTGTACTCATTTGCTCTATATTGAGGCTGCTGGTGTAGAAGAGCTGCTCTAAATGCAGGAATTTTCAGAAATGCTTAGCCAGTGCTGAATGCCACTGTGTATCCCATTTGAACTCCTCAGTGTGAACCACCTTTTTACAATTTTGAGATGTCTTTAAACAAACAGGGCTACGACAAAATACCTCTTTGGAACATCATCTACAGCTCTTTGATTCAAATCATACTTATGACCTTGGCAATCAAACATTTATCCTTTCATTATACCCTTTACAATTTATTGTCTGAAACCTACCATCCAGAGCAGAAATTATCTGCTCCATGGAAGGTTTGGCATGATTTCTCAGTAAGGCATATATGGACATCACCATTCCAGGGGTGCAGAAGCCACACTGGGAACCATGGCACTTGGCAAGCCTTTCCTAGAACAAAGAGAAAGAAAGAGAACAAAGGCTCTGAACCCAGGATATGGCTTCACTGGCTTTCTGAATAGTCATCTTCAGGTATGTCTTGGCTCTAAACTGAAAGAGACATAAATGGGATGGATAGACCAACCAGTGGATAAAGAATTGGGCTGAATAGCTGCATGCAGAGAATTGCAGTCAACGGCTCAGTGTTCAGCTGGAGACCAGTAACAAGTGGTGTTCCTCAGGGGTTGGTGTTGGGACCTATCCTGTTCAACATCTTTGTTGGCAACATGGACAGTGGGATTGAGAGTGCCTTCAGCAAGCTCGCTGATGACACTAAGCTGTGTGGTTTGGTTGATAGCTGGAGGGAAGGAATGCCATCCAGAGGGACCTTGACACACTTGAGAGGTAGCAAATTCCAACCTCATGAAGTTCAACAATGCAAAGTACAAGGTCCTACATCTGGGTCAGGGCAATCCCAGACACAGGTTGGGCAGAGAAGTGATCTAGAGCAACCCTGTGGAGAAGGACTTGAGGGTGTTGGTCAATGAGAAACTTAACATGAGCCGGCTTCAGTGTGTGCTTGCAGCCCAGAAAGCCAACCGTATCCTGGGCTGCATTAAAAGGAGCATGACCAGCAGGTTGAAGGAAGTGATCCTGCCCCTCTACTCTGCTCTTGTGAGACCCCACTTGGAGTATTGTGTGCAGTTCTGGTGTCCTCAACATAAGAAGGACATGGAACTGTCGGAGCAAGTCCAGAAGAGGACCACAAGGATGATCAGAGGGCTGAAGTACCTCCTGTATGAACTGACAGGAGAGGCTGTTCAGCCTGGAGAACAGAAGGCTGAAGGCTGCGTGGAGACCTCACAGCAGCCTTCCAATATCTGAAGGGGGCCTACAAGGATGCCAGAGAGGGGATCTTCATCAGCGATTGTAGCAACAGGACAAGGAGCAATAGGTATAAACTTAAACAGGGGAAGCTTAGGTTAGATAAAAGGAAGAAGTTCTTTACTGTGAGGGTGGTGAGGCACTGGAATGGGGTCCCCAAAGATGTGGCAAATGCTCCATCCCTGGCAGTGTTCAAGGTCAGATTGGACAGAGCCTTGGGCGACATGCTCTAGTGTGAGGTGTCCCTGCCCATGGCAGGGGGGTTGGAACTACATTATTTTAAGGTCCTTTCCAACCCATTCTACGATTCTACATCATCTACCAGCTGTAGGCCAGTAACAGCATTTTGACTACCCCAGTATGACCATTCATAAGGAATATGCTCATAGCAATCACCTAGTGGAAGGATAATTCTTGCTCCAACTTAGACCCTCATGACCTTAATTCCTTGATTATGAGAACAGAATAAAGCCCAAGACTTTCAATTTAGACACCAATTATACTTCAAATATTTTTAACCACAAATGACAGAACACAGATAATCTCCTCAACCAGAGCCTCAGCACAGAACAGTCAAGACCTTTGGAAAATAATAGAGGAAATTTCGAAAATATTCTTTAATCTATGTGGTCAAACTGTGCTTTTCAGGGACAAGCCAGAGTGGAGGAAGTAAGCAGCTGGTCTAATCCGAGGGAAATCTCTGGCACACAGAAAATGCGTTTAATATAATACCTGTCAGTCTGGTTGCCACCTGGGGTCACCCATCCCTTCCTACAGCATACGCAGCATGTGGTCCTCAGTGAGATGGCCAGATGCCATGCTGGTGAGTGAATGAAACTCACTGATGCTCTTTATTCTTCCCCAGCCCCTCCTGAAAGCTGGCATCCTACATATGATTGGCTAGCCCTGTGTTGTGGAAATTCTGATGTGCTGCCTGCATGGTAGTACATTAGAAGGAGCTCCTTCCATGCTCCATACAGGGCCAATCACAAACCAGCAACTGCTGTATTAATTCCTAAAAACACCTGCTTGTCTAAAAGGATTAGACAAAATTCAGAGTTTCTAGACTCTCTTCAGAAACTCTGTATTGCACAGACTCAGCACCTTCTCACAGATCCCAACTTCATTACAGACACAGAACAGGAAAATCTCATTATCTTGCAGTCCTATATAGTCCAGCTAACACTCACCTGAATTGGATGAATCCTGGTTTTTATGCTTCCAACCCCTTCCACAGTAGTGACAGCAGCACCATGCAGAGAGCATATGGGGAGAAGGCAGGAGTTAGCAGGATGATGTCTTTGAGATGTGAAGGAGAACTATTGTGTTAAATAGCTTTGTCATATGGGTCCATGGAGGAGGAAGGAACTGATATACAGTTCAGCTAATCCAGAAATACTCAGATTGAGCATAAAAACATGGGGAGAAGGATATGCAAGCATACAAAATCCCACACTTGGACTGTGACAGTATGCACTCCTACCACTGGGCTTAGGCATTAAGTGATAAGCTTTTCTAATTAAAGAAGTGGAAGGTTAAGTAAAAAAAATAAAAAAAATAAAAACAATAGTACTATATATGTTGTTGTAACCCGAAGTCTAGAGCCAGATGTGATGAAGTCAGGCATAGCATTTCTAATGGAACAAAGTTTTAAGAGGTAGTGAGAGAAAGTAGAACTCCTAACTTCACTATGGGCAAAACTGTATAATTACAATGCAATGTGTCTACTGCTGACATCCATAGAGTTTATCAATGGTTACATTAAGCATTTAGTGAAGACTTATTAACAATGAGATATCCTCAAATAAGCACAAAAGAGACAGGTGATACAGATGAAAAAAGGGCTGCTGAAATCTCAAATCATAAAGAACAGAAGAATTTTAAAACATTTCAACAGAAAGTTGGGGGGGTAGTGTTGAGCTTTTGTTTTGTTTCAAAGACTGGAGAAAGAGAATCCATCCAAATGAAAAGAAACCAAGTATTTCCCATTGAATGTCAGTTTTCTTGAAACACTGCATTACTATTTCCATATATCAGCGTGAGGATACTGTATCTGCTTGGCAACTGGATCATATGTGGATATCATCACAGTGCAGGCACCACATCCTCCTATTCCACAGCCATATTTTGTACCTGAGAGACGGACTGCAAAGGAGACTGTTAAAGAAAAAAATCTACAAAATTTAAAAGTTATTTTTTTCTTATACTCTTCTGAGTCTCCCTTTTTTTATGTGTATGTGCAGAATTTGAGGGATCTTTGATCTGATAGCTCCAAAAGAGAAAACATGTACAAACAGATGAAAATAAGAGTACATAAAGAGATGAGAAGGGTAAGGACAGATTCAGAAATGGGTATGAGGCAGACTTCCAATATAGACTTTTTCAATCTCTACAGTAAACACCTGGTAAATTCCCAAAAGACTGAAATCAGGACCCTGTAAATGGGATACAGCAATATCTTATTAGTCTTACTCATAATGCTTTCTTAATCCTTAAACATAATTAGCTCTATCGTGCACTTGCAGAACCGTACCAGTAGATCTATGTTATCTGTGCTGTTTCCTGAACATCCAAGGGGTATAGTAATTTAAAATGGAGCACAATACCGAAGTGCACACACCTGAATTCTGTATAGAAGGACTTTTCATTACGTGCCTCTATAAAGTCTCCGCACTCAAATTACAATCTCCTTCCGATGTCAGAGTGACCTGCAGTCCAGTGGAATTTATAATTTCCTTTCATTTTAGCTCCTTTTCAGAATGATACATAACCCTATTACTCTTCCTGAATGTGTGTATTTGCATCCATTTTGATTAGCTACTACATGGTTTTCCATCTGATTTCACCATGTTTCTAGATTTCTTTAAACCCAGTGCAATTTTATCCACTGGTGCATTCCCATTGGTAATCAGTACAGAACTAATCTTATCACACTGCTTGACTGTTACAGAGATGCTAATTCCACTGAATGCTTGGACAATGTACAGTGCAAGCTAATAAAAAAGCTGCAGCTAATAAATTATTTTCCACTACTGCCTTTCTCAAGTTAATCCTTAGATTGGTGTTGGTTTTCTTCAAGCATAGAAAGCTCTCAATAGCAAAGCTAAACACACTTCCTTAAGAATATAACCTGCACGGCAGCTTCTTAGCGGAGATAATTGCCACTGAAGTCAATAGAACCCTGACAGCAGGTAGCATCCGGAAGAGTCTCAAATGATAGAAAATAAAGATAATAAGATAATAAAATAAGCTTTTGCAAACTCCTTTGAAGGACTGCGGCCTAAATAATTTATCATGGAAGTAGTTCTGTACTGATTTCTTTAGTTACTCTTTTCATCACAAGTGCACTAAAAGATTTTTCATGCTTTGAGAAGCTTTAAAGAAGATTTGGCCAGTATTTAGAAGAATTACACCCAAACTTTAGAATATTATATCCCTGTAACTAGCACACACAATGGACATACAGCACTGGATTGCTCTGCTGAGAATAAATACAAGGTGAGTTGTGTTACTTCTACTTATTGTTCTGTTTACACTGGTTCCCAAAGGAAAGTGAAAACATCTTAATTCCCAGTTGCAGTAATTTATATAATTACAGAATTCAAAGGCAAAATTCAAAGAAAGGATACGTTTCTTTCTTAGATAATACAGCAGCAATTCTTCAGGGTCTGCCTGCCTCTCTGTTACCTACATTATGGAATAAAAAAAGAGATTATAGGTTGCAGAGGGATCTAATTATATTAGATCATCTCAGGAGGATTAACTATGATGATGATGAAATACAATGATTGTGGCATGTTTGTTCAGCAACAGGATCCTATCACTTGAACACAATCTCCAGATAAATAATAGAAGTAATAGGGAAGAGAGGCTGAGTAAGCACTGGATAGACAAGAGTAGAAAGGAAAGTATCTTTGGACTAGATCCTTTGTTGATTCTTGTCAGCATGAATCACAAATCCCTTCGTTTTGAAGCTATAGACCCGTGCATGTGAGAATTCTGTGTATTTTTACCTCCTTGAAGTTGATATTAACCCCTTCATTTTCAGAGACCCATCAGCATAAAAGTAGAGGAAAATCATAGTATAAAAAGAGCAGTGAGAATACATAACTATTTTCAAGGTAATGAAGTTTAGTATGTATGAGTGGGGCTTACACAGGCTTTGCTTTAGCCTTATCTCAAGAATGTTGCTGTATCATCAGCATGTTTCAACTTCTTGGAGGTAACATAATACAAGCAACTTTGAAAACATTTTTTAGGACCCATAGCTGTACAATGAAAAGAGGCTGAACCTCAGGGCTTCTCTCAATAGCTCTGCTATACCAGCAGCATGAGCCAATTTACCAGGTGTGAGACAACATGAATTAGTTCAGGAATTTACTGGGAACTGCAGAATGAAATAAGGTTTCAGTGTATGCCTCTAAGCACAGCTGACATATAATGACAGATAAAACATAACAGACAGAAAAAAACTGAATTAATTTTCCTTGATTCGCATGTTAGAAAAAAAAAAAGCCAGTCCCCTCTTTCTGGAGTATAAAAAAGTTGACAGGACAACTGAAAAATATCTCTAGAAAAATACATAGAAAGGTTTGGTTGTTTTTTAACAAAGGAAACTTCTTCATTTCAGCTTATATTACAGGTGATGCATTTGTTAATAGGAACTCTTATTTACTTGACCTGCAAAGTAAGAAAAGGTGACAGAATGTCTTAGAAAATGAGAGCTTTTGGCATAACAAATAGAAGAAAAAGAACTACTTATTTTCTTTTGGTGAGTTATTGAAAATATATTAGTAAGCAGCATATTCTTTTACTAGAGATACATTTAGTCCAACTACATGAACTTTAGGAGTGTATTAGTATAAGGTTTTAGTCAAAACTCTGTGATATAATGGGTAATACAAAGCCACTCAGACTATGTAAAAACTGTGGTAGAAAGCAGGATAAGCAGGATTCTATAAGGAAGATCAAAGACAACAGATGATTATTTATGAATAAACTGTTGCTCCAGAATAACATCTTTCCTGAATAGGAACAGCAAAGTACTGCTGTCAAAAAAAAAAAAAAGCCATTAAAAACTTACCTTCCTGCCATTCACAAAAAAGACAAGCTCATCTAATGGCTGGGGGCAAGCCATTGCTGTTGCATTAAAGCCTGAAAAACAAAGCTTTACGTATCAAGAGAAATGAAGGAAATGCTATATGCTCCCAAAGGTTAACAGAGGTTGCTTTCTCTTGCAGAATTTATTTTCAGACTAAGCATCAAATTAAGTAGATGGGGAGGAGCCAGTGTGATGTGTGCTGCTTCTCAGCAATTAATGCACGTTCACGCCTAACTTTCTACTCCTACTCCACACCCAACTCTTCTCCGGTGATCTGAAATAATTTGAACACCTCTAATTCTAACCCTGTAACCTAAGAGAGAAAGCACTTAACCGTGAGGAGGGACTTCTGGGCTTGAGCTACAACTGCCAGGCCTGGGTTTTTTATATTATCCAGTAACTGATGAATTTAGAATACATAGGAATGTGTGAAGCTAGAACCCAGAACATGCAATGTTACCCATTTCTGTGGCGTGTCAGATGCTAAGATGTGGAGCATGCTTCTCATTTTAGCTTGTTACTCATGCGAACTATCTACAGAGTTTTTCTGCAGTGACCAAGTTTTAACAGAATCGATTAGTACTACGCACACATTTAAAATTTCCTTGTGTTTGTCCCTGTTCTATGCCAGCTCTATACCCAGACTGCTGTGGTGCCATTATATGACGATACTCAAGATATACTGATTTGAGATTCTAGGTTCTCCATTTCTCTGTGGGCACATCCAGGAAACAAGGTCATTAATCTTTAAATGCTTTATTACAGCTGGCGTTTACTTTTTTCTTTTTTTGAAAGGGGACTTACATATATGTATATATGTATACATATAAAGCCTCCATTTGTATATGTACATGTCTTATTTACCCTTCTTACACTTCACAGCAAAGGTCTCTGTATTTCATTTAGTCAGTGCAGGCTTGTAGGACAAAGTAGTCAGTCCCAAATCTTTTACCATTTCCCATGAGAAGAAAAGAAAATGATTCTCAGCAGAGATATGCTGCTTCTTTTGTGGTTTAGCCCCTAATGTATGACTGAAACCTATCTGATGCAAGCACTGAAGCAACGTCAGTCACTAGGTCCTGCAGGCAAAAGCCCTAATGGGTCCTGCTGACTGCAGCACTGCTGTAGTATTCCACATGTATTGCAGGTACAACAATGTAGGTTCAAACGCCTGAGAAAGAACGAGACCTAGCACTAGATTTTGGCAGTCCAATACCTAATTTTCAGAGTATTAGACCTCCAAACCAGGACTCACTATTTATGCTAGGTGATTAAGCTTACACACAGAATGGGAATGCTGAGGGTGGGTACTTACAAAAACACTTCTTTCATGAAGAAAATGAGTAGAAAAAGCTCTTCTTGAGCATCTCCAGTTTGAGTGTTTCTGTACAGTGCACATCAGTGTGTGAACAGCCATCCAACCTGTCAATGCCTTCAGAGCCGTAACCTTTCTGCTAATCTAGCCCCCTAGATTAGCAGATGTGCGAGTCTGCACATTTTAAGCAGTATTAAAAATGTAATGCCACTGCTCCCTTTAACACCTATAGAGTCTAAGAAAATGTACTTCATAATATCACATGCAGCCATAGTATAATCTGTGAGGATGTTTAATTGCTGATATTTCTAGCTTCCATGCAGTTTTTCAAACACCTAAAAGCCAGCAGGTAACTTAATGTGTTTCAGCCCCCCCAAAAACCCAACAACCCGTGTTTGCCACATGCATAGATTTTACTGAGACAACTAGACAACAGTCCCACTTATAAAAAGGCAGGGAGGAATCTGTTAATAGTAACTGAGAAATATTGACAAGCAGACTTATGATCTGCACCACAGAAAACAAAACTACAGGTCTGAAACATGATGAATCTCTGGAGTCCAAATACCCCATCACTTCAGGTGGGGAGATGTCATTGGCTGCAAGGGTTGGTCCATGATTTTTACCAGATTCTATTTGCGTGAAACTAACCAGCACCTGTGTTGATGCACAGCTACACAGGAGAAGAACAGACAAGGCACCTTCCCCCCCCTGCCCAGTTCAGCAGACCTATATGCCTCCCTGCTTCAGCATATACTGGGATTTAACCACTTTTTGGGGCTGTTATCGACACGTGGGGTTGTGAACTGTCATTATAAAGCCCATGCAGTGAAAATGAAGATGTTTCAAATCTGAAAAGCTAATTATGGTAGCTGGATTCACATTTAGCTTTATTTATTGCCCTTTTTTCAATATATAAAAGCCAAAGTAATACAAAGTGAAGAAAAAGAACTAAAACCCAATAGGGCTCTAGCTGCTATAACCACACTTCTAATGCCACTTCAGATTACTTGCTATAACCTGCTTGGCCTCCTGTTGCTATGTGTTATCTTCCAGTCCTGTGCTTTCCTATGCCTCTGCTGTCCCATCACACCTAAAATGGTCTAGACACCTATGCTGAATTTCACCTACTCATAGTGCTTACAGAGAGAGACAAACAAATTGAAACAATAAGAATTTTGTATTTTAATAGCCAATGCAAAACCAGTTTAACCTACTACCCTGATTTGTGTCACAGATACAGTATCAATTCATAAGAGATGGAAGGCAAGAAGAGGAAATAGTCTGTGGAAAACCGAGGAGCAGTGAAATGAAAACAGCCTACAGGCTGACATGTCAAACAAATTAGAGACATTTATTTTCATTACAATTGGCAGTTTTCATGGCCCTTACTCACTCTGATGTATGAGTAACCAGAAAAGCAATCACCACGCTCAGCAAGGGATAACTAATGCAGAGGTTCACTGAAACCACACACTGAATATACAAACTACTTATTTTCTCAGTTCTACTCTTTCCTGAAAGAGCCTGCTGCAATTTTTTGTGCGCTACTTTGGGTAACTTCCGTAGAACTCACTAAAAAAGTGACGTGTTTTCTCTGTGTTATGATGTACCCCAGATCAAAGCTCCAACTTCAAAACCATGGAGATTTGTGTATTTGTGCTTGTGTGCATTCAGAACTGAAATCTCAACTTTGCACTTCAAGAAGATTCAGACGCTGAAATCTGAACACTGCGGCCAGAGCAAGCTTTCATAATATATTAACTTTGATATATTCTATCTTATTTCTTGGTCTCCTCTTTGGTTACAAATATATACATACTCAAATTTAGTAACACCAGAATTTGTTACCATTTAATACGGTGATGCTTTGTATTTTTGTGTTTTCTCCACCTGCTGCTACTTGAGTTTGGTCTAACCCTACTGCACCACAGGCAGCATCAGAGGACTGATCTCTGCAAATCAGCTTTTAACCCCTTTACATTTTTTTCTGTCTTTATCACAGGAGTGACTGAATGTGGGAGAAAGCTCTTAACTGTACTTCCGTGGCTCAATATAGTCTTGAGCACAGGATTAAGCTCTGCTTAAGAGTCCTTTCCAGAGACAGGTTCATCCAGTCTCGTATTCAAAGCACACTGAACTCCAGGAGAGTTTTCCCATTTTAAAAGCTGTTTGGAGTCTTTTGGCTTTCTCCATGAGAAAAAGAAAGGTTCTGGTGGACTCACTAAACAACTCTTTCCAACTTCTGGGATAAAACTGATCTCCTGAATATGTAGGTCAGCCATAGCAATTTGCCTGGCATAGCAAAAGAAAATACTAACTTGTTTCTTGCATGTTTTTAACACAAAGATACCTATGTCAAAAGAATCTAAAGCAGCTTTACTACAAATCAGAGCATCACTTCTGATCAAAACGGGACTGAATCCAACAAACAAGGTTCTGATTCTTCAACAGTTATCCTTGCACTTACACTTCTCTTCAAGACTCAAATGTAAATTAGGAAATAAGCTGAAGCCATTAAAAAATCATTTATCTACTATGTTGTTAAGTGTAGTAAGTGACAGTAAGTTACCAAACATACCTTTATACTTCATCCTAACTTTCTTCTTCTGCAGCATTTGAACTGAGCTGTTCAGGGAATCTTTCTTGTTGAATACATATGACTCAAATGCAGGAGATGTATTTTTAGCAATTAAATGCAGTAATTTAAACAGATGATTGTAATGAATACACTAGATGGAAAAGGAAGATAAGGATAGAAGATGGAATATGCTTATTTTTGGTAGCTGATTCTATTCTGAAATGAGAAAATATATTTATCTGCGTGTTGATTAGTGTGTACTGGGACTGTAAATCAGTTTTCCATTCTATTCCATTCCATTCCCGTCTTGTGCTCTCGGGGTTGTCATTCACACAGATATGGCCTGAGGACTGAAGGAAGCAGATTCGTTGTTTGCCATCTAAGAGAACAAGCAAGAAATGAAGAGTTACTTGTTAGTATTATTTGACTGGCAAGCTCCCAATATTGCCCTTATCAGGCCTCCAAGTCATACAGCAGTGTTCTACAGGAGGTATCTACAGAAGATGGCTAGAAAGAAGGTCAGTGATAACTGGTGTCAGGGCCAGACAGGTATAGAGAAGCATGATCCCTGCAGTACTGGACCTCATCACCCATAAGCTCCTGTGATGACAGTAAGCCCACGATCCTATTGATTTGGGGCCAGTGATGCTGCACCACAACCACAGAAATACTATGGAAGTAATCTGTGAGTGAGAGCTCAAGACTTTCCATGGCAGAGCCTCAGAAGCTCAGGACAGTAGGGATTTATATGCTGACAAGAACCTTGCTTCACAGATACTGTAGGCTAAATAAAAGCTTACTAATAGAATTGTAATAGCAGTGGGAATATGACTACAGTGAACAGTTGCAGAAAACGTAGAATATAAAGGATAGCATTATTAGTAGTGTATTGCCTCATCTGTTTTTCTTCTGTATCCTTTTGTTAGCTGAGTTAATTACTTTTTTCACAAAGACTCCTGGGCATAGCAAGGACTGTAAGAATGAGGTGACAGAATGACTTGCCAAAGTGCAAGACACTGGGAAAAAGCACCTGGAAAGAGACTGAAGGCACCTGGAGGCTGATCCATTGCATGTCAGTAAGAGGAGCTATTTAATCCTGTATGGGATTTGACATACCAAAGAAAGAAGCGGGGCTTCAGGGAAAGAGGGACTGTAAATTAAAAAAAAAAACAAACAACCCAAAAAATCATTATACCAAACCAGGGGAATTCCAATACAGTGCTTGAATGGCATTTGTTGGAGTCATTTGTCTGAGATGTGGTACAAGACGTTTCAATTACAAGGAGCCATATAATACTGCTGTATGCAAAGCATGATCAACTGGAGACATCATCAGGCACCCCACGATTCAGGGGTGCCAAAAGCAGTATGAAATTCTACCCAGACATACTTCAACAGACCCTTTCCCAATTTTCTACTACCATCTCAGTGAAGTCATCGTCGCAGCTTGCCCGTATTTGTTCAGCGGTCAGAGGGCTACTCAGCACAAAGCTCGTCTTCAGTCCTTTTTCATTCCTTGCACTAGTTACTGCATCTCTCAAAGCAAAGAACACAGAGCATCCCAAGAAAAGTCCTGCCTCACCTATGCCCTTGAAAAGAAATAAAAAGAAGACAAATAGGTG